TTCCTTGATGCTTGTTGCGCTGCGATGTCAACTAAATGTCAACACCGACCGGCGCGTTGAGGCACCAAGCGAGCGCTTAAATTCACCCCCAGTTGGCCATGAGGTGGCCGAGGGGCGCCGGGAGCGGGCCGTCCGGGTTCTCGCGGACGTGGGGCAACCGCGCGGCCGCGCGGCCGCGCTCGAAGCCGTCGTACATGCCCTCGAGGAACCGCGTCCGCTCGGCGTCGACCGTCGCCGGCGGCTCGCACGCGGCCGGCGGCGGCCGCCGCTTCCGGAGGGCGAAGTAGCGCGCGTTGTGGTCCGCGCCGAAGGCCGGCCCCGAGGCGACGACGTCGAGGCCCGCGACCTCGAAGGCCGCGCGCCAGCCCGTTTCGTCGCGGTAGCCGTCGGCCGGCGCGCCCGTGTCCCGCGCGTGCTCCGCGTTGTAGCGGCGGAAGCCGTCCGCGTCGAGCTCCTCGTTGACGAGCACCCAGTCCCGCGACACGCGCGCGAGCTCCGCGAGCAGGGCCGGCTGCCGCTCGCGCGGCACGTGGTGCAGCACGAACATGCAGGACACGACGTCGAAGGTTTCGGACGCCGCGGGCAGGGGCAGCGCGTCGTAGAGCTCGACGTCCGCCCAGGCCGCGCCGGCGCGGTACATGGTCGTCGAGGCGCCCGGGTCCCGGAATTCGAGGCCCTTGACGGCGCCGAGCCTGTAGATCCGCCGCGCGATCTCGGCCATGGAGCCGTCGCCGGCGCCGACGTCGAGGAGCGTCAGCCCCTCGAGGTCCCACATGGCGGCGAAGACGCGCCAGACGCGGCTCGAGACCCAGAAGCGGCCCGGGTCCGGGTCCGCCCACGCCGCGAGCGACGCCGGCACCGCCGCGACGACGCCCGCGGCGTGGTCCACGTAGAAGCAGGCCTCGGCGCCGTCGGCGGCGCGGTCCCGCGGCGGGCACGCGCGGCCCTCGGCGAAGCCGTAGCCGAGGAAGTGGCGCCGCGCGTCGTCGCGGAACTCGGGCGAGGCGGCCACGTCCGGGTTGTCGAGGGCATATTGCGCCCAGTCGCAGTCTGCTACCAACGCGCTCCGCTGCGCGAGGCAGCCGTCGTCCTGCGCGCGGTCGAGTCGTGCGAGGAGCAGCGCGGCGGCCGCGGCGCGACGCATGGCGGGTCGCCTCGCAAAGACGGGTGCCATCGGAGGCTGCCCGAGCTTACACGTGCTCGGCGGGCCGCCTCGCAAAGAAGGGAGGCTTAGAGGCTGCCCGAGCTTATTACAAGTGCTCCGTTGAATGCAAGGTCGGCTTCATCCGACGCGCGCAGCCCCGTCACGTCGCCATGGCCATCCGACCCCCGCCCCGTGCGCGGCAGCCCCCGCGAGTCGAAGAGTTACCTTGGCAGCGCGGGCCCGCGTCTCGCGAACCCGCCGCGGCGGACCGGACGACCTACTTCTCCCCCGACGGGGAGAGCGCCATGTGGTAGGCGAGGAACGCGTTGCCGCCGTAGCCCGCCGGGCTGATGGGCTGCGGGTGCGCCACGGGCGCGGACGTGTTGAAGCTGTGGTGGATCGACTTGCCGCAGCCCTTGAAGGACACGTCGGAAGCGGACGCTCGCCTGCGGGGGGACGGCCGTCGTTCGTTTCCGCCGCCTCGGCGCGTCGATCCCGTCGCGTCGGTCGCGTGGTCGACGAGCGGCCCGCGCTCGGCGCGTCGATGCCGTCGCTCGCGCGCGCGCGCGGGGACCGCCCCCGCGTCGGGCGACGTCGGGCGGACGCGGGCGTACGCGCATGGACGTCGTGTTCGTCGCCGTCGCGGCCCCCGCGCGGCAGAGCGGGTTCACGGCCGACGTGATGCCCTTGTAGTTCCGCGGCGCCCAGGGGTTCCCGGACGTGATGCGCCCGCTGAACTGGCGCCGGCCGCAGCCGTCCTTCGGCACGTAGCGCCAATATTCGTCCTGCACCGGCGCGCGGATGCTCATGGCGGGCGGCGCGGACCGGCGACGCCGCCGCTCGGGCTGCGGTCCGCCGCCGGGGGGCTGCCGCGGCCACGCGACGACGGAGAGAGCTTCAGGGAGCGCCGAGCTATTAGACGAGTTGGTAAACATGCAGCTCCGTACCGTCGGCGAGCGGCCAGTGGAGGAATTGGGAGGAGGCATAGAGAGGGCGCCTGAGCGAAGGCGCGCGGCGCGCGGCTACTCCATCCCTCGTCGTCCAGGGCCTCGAGCGCCTCGCTCGCCTCGCGCGCGGCGGAAGACAAGGCGACCGCCGCACCGCTTCGCGCCATGGCCGCCGGCGCCGGCGCGCCCCGCGGCGGCTACAGCGTCGCGTCCCTCGTCGTCCAGGGCGCGTTCGTCGCCATCTGCATCGTGCTCATCATCGTCAACGTGAAGCACAGCCAGGGCTGCCGCGGCTACGACAGCGACGACGCGGCGCTCCGCCAGCGCGCGCTCGAGCACCGATTGGCGGTCATGGAGGGCGAGGTCCGGGAGAACTCGAAGCTGCTCCACGACTTCCTCGAGAAATTGGGCACATTCGTGAGCGTCGCCGAGCTCGCGGAGCTCCGCGGCCTCAAGCGCGCGTGCCACGCGGAGGCGGAGTCGATCGTCGCGGCGCTCGCGGAATCGCCGCCGCCGCCGATGCCGACGTTCACGGCGCCGGGCGGCGGCGACGAGTTCGGGGTCGGCGGCGACGACGTCTACGGCTACAAGGACGACGTCTTCGAGGGCGGGGCGACGCCCTACGGCGAATTGGAGCAACGCGGCTACGGCGACGACTTCGCGCGGGATTTGCCGTCGACGGAGGAGCGGAGCGCGACCTGCAAGGACTGGCGGTCCCAGTACGCCGTGAGCCCCGGCGTGTCCTGGGGCACGCTGCCCCTGGACCTCCAGGCCACGTGGCGCGACTACGACTGCGACATCTTCCTCCAGGAGTCCGTCCAGGGCATGCTCGCGGACGGCGACGCGCGCGCGGCGAAGGCCGCGGAGAACCGCGTCCGCGTCGTCGACGACTACTTCGACGACGTCGTCGGCGACGTCGAGTCCCTCGCCCAGTAAGTTTACTTCGCGGCCTCCTAGGGGAAGACGCGGAAGTGGAGGAACTTGAACGTGATGTAGGCCGCGGTCGTGAGCGCGAGGTAGCGCGAGACGAAGACGTCGACGAAGTCGACGACGCTCCGGACGACGCCGATGGCGTCGCCGAGGAGGCGCACGCCGGAGAGCGCGGCGATCGCGGGCCCGTTCGACGACTCGTCGGCCCACGCGTCGTCCGCTTCCAATTTCTCGACGGCCTTGGAGCCCAGGAAGCGCGTCGGCATGCCGAGGAAGAAGTCGACGTAGGTCACGACGACCTGGACGATCTTCGTCGAGCCCACGAGGATGAAGTTCAAAGCCAGCGCGAAGATCGTCCCCGCGAGGAACGTCTCGACGGTCTCGTGGAAGGGCAGCACCCAGGACAGGCCCTTGTCGCGCACGAAGGGCACGATGGCCTCCGTGAAGAAGGACTCGACGACGCAGAGCTCGAGGCGCAGCCGCAGCAGGCCGCCGGCGATGAGCGGCGCGTACTCCTTGTAGACGTCGGGCCCCACCAACAGGTTCACGGAGCCCTGGGCCGTGCGGTACAGCGCGTCGGACGCCACGCACACGGGCGCGAACGTCGCCGGGTCGAAGGCCGCGAGCTCCGGCACGCCGCGGAGCGCGACCGACGACCCGCGGAAGAGGGACGCCGGCGACGGCGGGGTCGTTTTTTTTTCCGGTTCCGGGGGAGGAGGGGGGGGGGGGATCGGCGCGTCGGGGTCCGCTAGTCGACCTTGATGGACGCGTAGATCTTCTTCGTGAACCAGAGGCAGGCGAAGAAGCCGCAGGCGCCCGTCAGCGCGAAGAGCCCCAACGAAATCAGGATCATGTAGCCGAAGTAGAGCACGTAGGTGAACCACTCGTCCGCCGCGAGGCGCCCAAAGTAGACGCAGCTGTAGAGCAGCACGTAGAGCGCGGTGCTCCCGGAGGTGAGGAAGGCGCGCCACCACCAGTGGTAGTTCTCGGAGCAGAGCTGGAAGTAGCAGAGCACGATGGTGATCTCGCAGCACGTGACGATCAGGATCACGAAGACGAGCGCGGTGAAGCCGAAGACGTAGTAGTACTGGTCCATCCACCTGGATAGGAAAAGAGAGATTCAACGTCGCTTCAACGTGAGTGTTCCCGCGCGCGCGCGTTCCGGAAATAGCATCCACGCTTCGAGACCGTTCCGAGGGATGATCGCTCGTCCCAAAATCAGCCGAAACGAGTGGAAAACGGCCGAGAGAGGAGCCTTTGAAGTCGGGAATGTCGCACCCTTTTCCCGCCCCGCCGTCCACATGGAGCTCAGGATGAAGAAGAGCTCGACGAAGCAGGCCCCGAAGGGCAGGATGCCCCCCACGAGCGTCGTGAAGCCCAGGCTCAGGTACCAGGGCTGGGGCGCGGGCACCTCGCGCGGGATGTTCGACGTGATCACGGGGTACGACAGCGGCTCGCGCTTGAACCCGAGGTACGCGCCCAGGAAGACGAGGGGCACGGACACGCCGAACCACAGCGCGAGCAGGCTGAGCAGGGACAGCAGGGGCACGGCGCCCGTAGACCCGTAGCTGTAGAGCATGCCGTCGAAGGAGAGGAACGTGACGAAGCACACGCCGGGGTACGCGAACGCCGTGTACAGCGTGCACTTCTGCCAGAGCCGGCCCTTGAAGGTCTTGTAGAGCGTCGCCGCCGTGTAGCCCGCCGGCGCGCCCATCATGACGAAGAGCACGAGCACGGCCGTCGCCAGCGACCCGCGGTTCGCGGGGCTCAGGAAGCCAGCCGCCGCGAAGACGATGCAGATCGTCGTGCACAGGAGCACCTGGACGCCCGTGCCGCAGGCGACGCAGAAGAGCATGGGGCAGGACGCCGGCGGGCGGAAGACGTCGGCGTGGACCAGCTTCCAGCCGCTCTCCTCGCGGTCCTCGGCCTTCTCCTCGTCGGTCAGCGTCCGGTTGTAGCGGACGATGTCGCGGTGGAGGTTCCGCACCAGGATCATGGCGACCATGACGGACAGGAAGAGCACGATCAGCAAGGAGTTGATGATGGAGAACCAGTGGACCTTGTCGCTCACCTGGTTGTCCATGGACAGATAAATGTCCCAGCGCGACGCCCACTTGACGTTCGACGCGCGCCACAACACGTCGTACGTGAAGACCACGGTCCCGACGCTCACGTCCTGCTTCGCGGCGATGGACTCGTAGACCATGGGCCCGCTCTTGTCGCAGGTCTCGAGCACGGGCGCCTCGGCGACGTCCTTGCCGTCCCATTTCGCGTCGCCCGCGAAGCGGTGCTTCACCGTGAAAGGTTCCACATAAAACCCGACGACGCGGGACCCGTCGTCGAGGGGGTGGTACTCCACGATAATGTTCACGTGGTTGAAGAGGTAGGACGCCTTGTGGTCCTGGTAGCCCACGGGGAAGCCGCCCGCGTACGCCGTGATGATGTACTGTTCCGAGTCGACGATCGACGCGGCCGGCAAATTGTCGATGATCCAGTTGTTGTGGTACTCCTCCTTGATGATCGTCTTCAGCGCGCTCACGTCGCTCTTGGCCAGGTCCACCTGGCAGAGCACCTTGCAGAACTGGTCCTGCTCCATGAAGAGCTGGAAGGGGCTGTTCTCGATCAAGTCGCCGCCGAGGAACTCGCCCAGGTTCTCCGTGGCCCGCTTGATGCCCCCGCGGGGGCGGCAGAACTTGAGGCTGTAGTAGTCGTAGGGGATCTGCGTGTGCACGCTCGTCAGCTTGTTCACCTTGAGCTCGACCTGCGCGCGCGGCGGTCGCGGCGGCGGCGGCGCGGCGGCGCGCGGCGCGGGTTCGCGCCTTGTCGCCGTAGCGGAACGTGCGGGGCGCGACGCCCGGCAGGTAGAAGGCGTCGCTGCCGGCCAGGGCCCCGAGGAGCAGGGCGACGACCCGCATGGTCCTGCGAAGGCAAAGGACGTGGGCCGCGGGCGAATTGGGCCGGCGGTCCCCGCCGTGCGCGCGCCGTCTCGTCGCGCGCGGCGGCGCGCGTCGCGCGGGGGTGCGGCGGCGACTCGCGCACCTCGCGACCCGGGCCCCTCGACGGCGAAGCCCGCGCCTAAAAGACCAAACGCAGTGCCGGCGGCCTCTTGCCACAGCTCGCGGCGAGTTGCGACGCGAGCGCGCAACACCTGGGGCTGCCCACAGCGGCCGCCGTCGTCGCCGTCACCGGCGACGAGCATCGCGTCTCGCGTCGGCAGCGCGGCGCCGCGCCTCGCGTAGAACACCTGCGCCACCGGCGTCGCACGCCGCGATGCGCGGTCGGCTCCTCCTCGTCGCCATCGGGGCTGCCTTCGGCAGCGACGAGCGCTTCGCGGGCCGCGTCGCCGAGCTGCGGAGCTTCGTCGCCGCCGAGGGCCACGGCGACGTGCCCATGGGCGAGCCGCTGGGCAAGTGGGTCGCGTCCGTGCGCCGCGCGGCGCGCGGCGGCAAATTGGACCCCGAGAAGCGGCGGACGTACGCCGAGGCGGGAGGCACGTTCGCGCCGCTCGAGGGCCGCTGGGACGCGGCGGTGGACCTGCTCCGCGGCTTCGTGAAGCGCGAGGGCCACGCGGCCGTGCCCCGCAACCACACGGAGGGCGGCGTCTTCCTCGCCGCGTGGCTCCGGGGCGCGCGGCGGTCCGCCGCGGCGGGGACGCTCGAGCCGGCGCGCGCCGCGGCGCTCGAGGCGCTCGGCGTCGCGCTGCGGCGCAAGGAGGACCTCCGGGAGCAGAACTTCGACAAGTACCTCGCGGCGCTCGCGGCCTACGCGGCGGAGGCGCGCGTCAAGGACGCGCCGCGCGACGCGACGCACGACGGTTTGGACGTCGGCCGCTGGCTCGCGGGGCAACGCGCCAAGCACGCGGCGGGGAGCCTCGACGCGGGCCGGCGGGCGAAGCTCGAGGCCGCGGGGTTCTCGCCGTCGCCCGCGCGGGCGACGAAGCCGTCGGTGTGGGACCTGGAGGCGCCGGACATCCCAGCGTCCGGCGCGGGGCAGCAAAAGAGAGCGAAATTCCCAACTTCAAAGGCTCCTCTCTCGGCCGGTTTCCACTCGTTTTGGCTGATTTTTGGACGTGCGATCATCTCTCGGAACGGTCTCGAAGCGTGGATGCTTTTTTCGGAACGCGCGCGCGCGGAACACTCACGTTGAAGCGAACTTGAATCACTCTTGTCCTGCCCAGGTCCGGCGCCGCGCGGAGCGCGTGGTTCCGGACGCAGGTCGAGGACCAGCCGACGACACTGGGCCAATGGTACGACACGTGCGTCGGCCACGGCGCCAAGTTCCCCTTCCGGCCGCGCCAGTCCCAGGTGTCGTGGCGCGACGACCAGGTCTACCACATCATGTGCATCCTGGAGCGGAAGCTCGCGCTCGGCGAGTCCAAATTCTCCGCGCTGCAGATCGGCGCGAACGACGGCAAGGACGCGTTCTACGACGCGCTGGTCTACGCGCGACGGCACTACGGCGACGTGGACGTCCGGGCGACGTTGGTCGAACCGACGCTCCACAACTTCGACAAGCTCAAGGCGCACTACGGCGCGTCCGAAACCGTCGGCCAAATCGTCGAATACGTCAACGGCGCGGTCTGCGACAGCTGCTGCGCGCCCGACGGCACGACGCAGATCTTCCACCCGCGCTGGTCCCTCCTCGAGGAGTGGGAGCAGAAGGCGCGCGAAAACCCGGACAAGCACCCCAAGGCGTTCCAGACGCCCGACGGGTCCTGGCGCCAGCGCTGGCTCTACGAGCTCAACAGCCTGGACCGGAACAACCTCAAGACCCACTTCAAGAACGACGGCGACGTCGAGTCCACGACGATCTCCTGCCTGCCCGCGTCGCGGCTCGGCGACGACCACGACTACGTCATGATCGACGTCGAGGGCTTCGACTTCGAGGTGCTCGCGTCGCTGGACCTCGCGAAGCAGCGGCCCCTCGTCATCAACTTCGAGTCGAAGATCATGGAGGCGCAGCGGCCCGACGCGCTCTGGCGCGCGGCGACGTTCTGCAACGACGCGGGCTACCACGTCCTCCGCGGCCGCGCGAACTACATCTGCGTCCGCGGCGACGCGCCCGACGTCGCGCTGCGGGACGTCGTCGCGAAGACCCTGGCATAAGGCGCGTTACGGTCGTTCGGCGTGGATGGCGCGGCCCGTAGGACCCCCGGCGCACGTCGCTCGCGGCGGCCTCAATCGCCGTTGACGACGCTGCCCGTGTCGAGGACCGCGTCGGAGCCGCGGCTCCGGTAGAGGCGCTGGAACCCCCAGATGAAGGCATCCGTCTCGGCCGACTTCCCGAACCAGAGGAGCTGGCCGATGACCCACTCGTAGAGGACGGCGTAGATGACCATGAGCACGAGGAAGTCGAGGACGGCGGACGCGACGGCCAGCTTCAAATTCCGCGTCGCGTAGCACGCGGACCAGTTGACGACGACGCAGAGGATGACCGCCGTCACGAGCTGGCAGACCTGGTAGGTGTTGGCGACGCTCGGGTGCTTCTCGTAGATGTAGTCGTCGGCGATGACGATCCGCCCCTTGGACGTCTGGCGCTGCATCGCGACCTCGCCGACCAGGACCGTAATCGCGACGCCCGCGAGCGACAGGCCCTGGACGACGGGCTGGAGCCATACCCAGGGGGAGGAGCACACGGTCTTCGCGACGCGGTCGAGCGGGCACGGCCCCAGTGCGCCCGCGGCCCGCCGCGCTTCGAGCGCCGCGGCCTCGCGGCCCGCGAAGAGGTCGCCGTAGACGGAGTGCCTGGGCAGGACACAAAATATTCAACACGACTTCAATGTGAGCGTATTCGAACGGTTCCGACGTAGATTTTTCACCGTCTAGAAAGAACTCGCCGAGAGAAAACGATCCGTCCAAAAATCAGCCGAATCGACTTCGATGTGACCGAGCTCGAGAGTTTTTGCTGGACGGGGCGTTCCACCGGTTGTTTCCGGCACGGCGGAGCGCGTCGCGCCGATGCCGAAGCCGCTGTCGAGGCCGAGGAGGAACATGAGCGCCGTCGCGTTCAGCAGGATGTTCAGCGGGCCGTCGGACGTGCCGACGATCTGGATCGTCTGCTCGACCATGACGAGGGCCAATAGCAGGCGGAGCTGCTGCACGAGGAACGCCAAGGCGACGTAGGTCCAGGCCGCGAAAGTCCGCGGCAGCGTCACGCGCCCGCCGTCGACGAAGGTGCTCGAGAGCAGGCCCGCGCTGATGATCAGGCTCTCGATGGCGCCCTCGAGTTCGAAGGTGATGCTCACCGCGGTCGCGACGAGCGTGATGAAGACGAAGACGGGGACCCCAAAGTAGAGGATCCGCCCGTTGGGGTTGAGGGCGTCGGTCCGCGACGGCTGGGGCGGCCCCTGCGGGTAGAGGTAGGCCATGTACTCGTCGTCCTCGAGGTAGTTGTACCACGAGAAGTCCGCGCTCTGCGCGAACCAGACCGCCCCCAGCGCGACGATCGACAGGAGCAGCAGGGCCATGGCCACGAGCGCCTGCGCGACGAGCCCGGGCGACAGCGACCGCGTCCCCGCCTGGGCCTCGCGCACGAGGTTGTACTGCACCGTCGAGTAGAAGCCACCCGACGCGCTCTCGCGGAGCGCGTCCCGGAGGCCCGAGACGGCGTCCGCGTCGCCGGCGCCGTCGCGCGCGTCGCCGCCGCCGTCGCCGGCCGCGTCGGCGGCCTCGTCGTCGTCGGCGGAGTCCTCGGAAACCATGATCTCCTCCGTCCGCGCCTTCTTCTTGACCGCGGTCTTCCGGGCCTTCTTCGCTGCCTTGCGGGACGGGCGCGTGAGGCGCGTGATGGTATTCTGCTCGTCTTGCGCCGGCAGCTCCATCAGATCGACGCCCTCGCCGTCCGCGGGCGCTTCCTGGCCATTAAAGCAGGACATCATCGCCCACGGGGTGTCGTCGACGGGGCTGGCGCGTGCTGCAGTATGTAGCAGCCCGGGCGGCGATCGAAAAATGAGCGTCGAAAGGGGGGCTAATGTTCGATTGGTGAGCTTCAAGTTGTCGTAGAGTTTCGGGAGCCGGATTTGTGCCGGGCTGTCTAGGGCTGGGAAGGGCTGCTCCACGCCCAAACTCCACAGACTTCGGCGCCGTTCCGTGGCGCCCGCGTCGCCCACGGGAGACATGGAGAGATTCAGCTGCATGCTGCCGAGCGGCGACGAGCCGGAGCCCACCACCGCGCAGCTCACGGTGGCGCTCGCCATGGTCGAGGAGCGGCTCGCGCTGCTCGAGTCGGGGCAGGCGCCGGACGGGCTCGTGAAGCGGAGCGCGTCGCGGCGCGCGACGGGCGACGGGACGGCGGTGGCCGTCTTCGCCGACGACGACGTTGATGCTGATGTTGATGTCGATGCTGTCGCCGCCCCGCCCGCGGAGGAGAAGCGGAAGTGGTCCGAGTGCCTGAGCCCTCGCGCGGCCGCGCGCAAGGTCGTCGCCATGATGGGCGAGGACAACCCGCACGTGCGGAGCCGGCGGTCGAGCGTCGAGGCGGGCGAGGAGGCGGAGCTGACGGAGTCCATCGTCGGGGGCCTCGCCGACAAGATCTCGCGGTCGCACTACAACTTCTCCACGCACCGCGTGCTCGAGTCGGCGAGCGTGAAAGAGGTGTCGACGCGCTTCGCGGCGTGCGTGTCCATGCTCGGCCTCCAGCTCTACGTGCTCCTCGTGGTCTCGGACACGACGTGGCTCTCCTGGTTCAACCGGCGCGTCAACGACTCGAACTACGAGGACGCGGGCTACGATGAAAACCCGATGAAGGAGCGCGACAAGCCGAACGACTGGGCCGCGCTCACGCAGCGCTGGGGCGCGGGGCGGCGTCCCGCGGCCGAAACGATGTTCGAGAGCTTTCGACCGGGAAAACGATGGAACCGTCGTCACCGTCGCGCTCGGTAGGCGAGTGGAACTCGGAGATCCTGGGCATCCCCGTGATCACGCTCCTGCCGCTCATCTTCGCCGTGCTCATGGTCAACGTGAGCATGCGGGACACGATCCAGGAGATCGTCGTCGGCCGCATGCTCGTCCACGAGGCGGCCAGCGGCCCGCGGAGCGCCGTCGCCTATTTCATCCACTTCCTGCGCGTCATGTGCGTCATGCAGTTCATCGACAGCACGTCCATGGTCCTCGGGCTGTCGAACGGGCCCTTCAACCTCGTCGCGGACTCGCTCGCGCTCATCTTCATCCTCGACTGGGACAAGCTGCTCCGCTTCGGCTCGAAGAAGAGCCTCTTCGGCGAGGCCAAGGCCGCGACGAACCGGGCGCACGCGCGGACCATCGAGGTCGTCGCGGCGCGCCTCGCGGTGCCCGTGCTGGGCCAGGGCACGCGCGAGCGCCAGCGCGGCGGCCGCGCCGAGGAGGCGCTGCTCGTCGCGCTCGCGGCCTTCTCCTTCGTGGCCACGCAGCGCATGCAGCGGCTCACGAGCCACGGGCGCATGACGCACCCGGACGACACGGCGCGCCAGGGCGTCCGCGTGGCCTTCCGCGTCGGCTCCTACGCGTCCCTCGCGTGCGTGCTGCTCTTCGTCAACTTCACGTGCCGCGCGGTGACGACGCGCGCGAAGCGCAAGTCCGTGCTGGCCGTGCTGACCCTCACGGTCGTCGAGTTCGTCGTCTTCATCTTCGTCTCCTACATCATCCTCTACAACCTCCTCAGCGAGGCCCTCACCTACGGCGACTTCGACAAGGCCTACTTTCAGCCCCACGCGGTCCTCGGCCACGTCCTCGCGATCTACGACGACGACGACATGGTCTACGACGACGACATCTTCAAGCCCGGCGACGACGACACGCCGGACTTCGAGGGGTTCTTCGAGAAGCTTCACGCGTGATAAACTGCCTGGTTGACCAGGGTATTGAAGGGGACGCGCGCTCGACTGGCGCCCGCCCGGGGAGGAGAGGGAGGCCCGCGGAACTCAACCAGAGCTGGTTGAGCTCACGGTGAAGCCCAGTTGCACTGAACTTGCAGCATCTCGATAGGCGATGGGCCGCAAGTAGTAGATCGCACCGCCGCACGATGTCCAGCGAATCCATCGTCCAGGACCCGCTGGGCCGCAGCGCGCTCATCGACCTCGAGGAGCGCGGCATCCTGAGCCGCGCCGAGGCGCGCAGCGTCCTGGCGCGCCGCGAGCGCTTCGAGGTCGAGCTCGGCGGGTCGAAGCCGACGCGGGCGAGCTTCCTGCGCTACGTCGTCTACGAGCTCAAGCTCGACCGCATCCGCGCGTCGCGCACGCGCCGGCTCGCCAGCGGCAAGCGCGGCCCCGGCGACTTCTTCGGCGTCCGCCACGTCTACGCGCTCTACGAGCGCGCGCTCGCGCGCTTCCCCGAGGACCTGGACCTCTGGCTCGAGTACGTCGCCTACGCGAAGCGGAACAAGGCGCCGAAGATGGTCGGGCGCCTCCTCGCGCGCGCGCTCCAGCGCCACGGCACGCGGCCCGAGCTCTGGGTCCACGCGGCGAAGTGGGAATTGGTCGACCAGGGCAATGCGCGCGGCGCGCGGCGCATGCTCCAGCGGGGCCTGCGGCTCCACGCGACCTGCGTCGAGCTCTGGGCGTCCTACTTCTCCTTCGAGGTCAAGTACGTCGCGACGCTCGCCGCGCGGCGCGACGCGCTCGGCGTCGCCGACGGCGCGCACGAGGGCGACGGCGACGGCTTCTTCGCGGGCGACGCGCCCGTGGCCGTCGCCGAGGCGGCGCTCGCGGCCGCGCCGGCGGCGCGCGCGACGCTCCTCGCGGCGTTCCGCCGGGCCTGCGGCGACCACGGCGCCTGCGGCGCCGCGGTCGCCGCGCGGCTCCCGGCCGACGGCGACGACGACTCGGGCGACGACTCGGGCTCGGGCGAGGACGAGGACGAGTCCGAGTCCGAGTCCTCCTCCGACGGGGACGACCGGCGGACGCGGCGCGAGCTCCGGCGGACGCTCGTGCTCGCGGCCGCGCCGGCGCACGCCGCGCGCGCGGCCGCGGGCCGCGGCGACGCGCGGTCCGCGCGCGACGCGGCGCGCGCGTTCGGCCGCTGCCACGACGGCGCGAGTCTCCGCGCCGCCGCGGCCTTCCGCTTCGCGTCCGGCGGCGCGCTCGACGCGAAGCACGCGGCCGCGCTCGACGGCGCCCGGGCCCACGCGCGGCGGCTCTAAGAGAAGCTCGCTAGGCGTCCGCGGACGGGGGCAGGGGCGGCGCGGGCGCGCTCGGCGCCGCGGCCGGCGCGGCCGTCGGCGCGGGCGCGAGGAAGCCCGCGACCGCGTCCGTGCCGAGCGTCGCGGCGAGCTGGTCGAGGAAGGGACGCTGGTCCGCCTCGGGCAGCGCGCCGTCGGCCGTGAGCGCGTCCGGGTGCCGCCGGCCCTGGTGCGAGTCCGCGAGGGCCCGGAGCGGCGCGTCGTCGGTGAGCGCGAGGGGGTGTTCGAAGCCCTCTTGTGCGACGTCCGCGCGCGCCTCGCCGTCGGCGACGACCTCGAAGACGTAGTAGCGCTGCTTCGGCGTCCAGGAGTTGGGGAGCACGAGGGGCTCGCCCAATGGCCGGAGGCGCCCGAGGTCGAAGCCCGCGGGGAGGTCGTCGTAGGTCACGACGACGCACCCCGGCGGCGCGTGCTTGGCGACGACGGCCAGCACCTCCCCCCGCGCACCGCCGCCGAAGCCCAGCGAGTCCCAGATCAGCGCCGCGCCCTGGAAGGCGCGCTCGCCCGCCCGCGCGTCGCCGTGGTAGAAGCGGACGTCGAGATCCCACGTCGCGGGCGAGTTGGCCTCGTCGCGGGCCTCCCGCGCGACGTCGACGCGCCGCTCGAGGATCTCCAGCCCCACGGTCGTGCGGATGTTCGGCAGCAGGAACGCGAGGCCCAGCGCCACCCAGCCGACGGACGACCCGAGGACGACGCAGTCGGAGCCCGTCGGCGCCGCGCCGCGCCGCGCGCAGGCCTCGAGCACGCGCGCGATCGTCCGGCACGGCGTCACGCCATAGATGCCGAAGCGGCTCTTGCTCCAGCCGTGCGCCGCGCAGAGCGCCTCGTGCTCCGCGACCTCGGCGGCGTCCGCGAAGGGGTCGTAGGCCTCCATGAAGGCCAGGCACCGCGCGAGGGCCTCGGCGCTGATCGACGTCGCCTCGCCCCAGGTCGTGAAGGGGCGCGCGTTGCTCGCCGACGCCGCGAGGTTCCGCGCGAGCTGCGCGTGCTCGTCGTCGCCGGGCGACGCCGGCGCCGGCGGCGAGGCGAGGCACTGCGCGAGGGAATCCATGATGCGCTGCGCTCTCGATCTCGGCGAATTCGAAGCGCTGCCGCTGACCTTTGCGTCACGTTGAGGTAAATCAAGGTCCTCCGCTCATCTGGAACGGGGAGCACGCGACGTTCCACGACGCCCCGATTTCCACTCAGCCGCACGCCCCTTATCCCCCTGGGGCGGCCGCTTTCCTACTCGGCCGTGGGCGCGAGCGTCGCGTTCATCTGGCGCAACGTGGGCACCTTGAGGAAGCGCGTCGACTCCGGGTTGAAGTCCGGCGTCTCGATGAACTGCTGGAAGAGGGTCTCCGTGCGCTTGCGCAGGCCCTCGAGCGACTTCTCGTTGCGGCCGCGGTTGAGGAGGTCCGCCTCGCGGTCGCACAGCTCGACGATGTCGTGCGTGAGCGGGCACGCGAACTCCTGGACGGTCCACTTGACGTTCAGCAGGATCTGGAGCCGCTCGTCGGGCGGGAGGCGGTCCGTGGCCAGGCCCCGGTACAGGTCCCGGAGCTCCTGCGCGCGCGTCGTGAACGGCGTGTGCACCTCGTGCAACTCGCCGTCGCCCGCCTCCCACTTCTTGGGGAAAGCCATCAGTTCCATGACGCGCTCGACGCGCCGCGCCTTGCCCTCCTTGGCGGCCTGGGCCTTGAGGCGGTCGATGGTCTGCAAAGCTTTCGTCTCCTTCGCGAGGACGTCGGACATGGCCGCTTTCACGTCGCCGGGCGTCGCGTCGGGGATGGCCCGCACGCGCTCCATCTCCTTGGCGCGCCAGGCCTCGAGCTCGTTGTACAACAGCTCGAAGTCCTTCGCGGACCGCGGGTTGATGCGGCGCTCGACCTCGAACTGGCGCCGCCGGCTCGCGGCCCGCCCGGCCTCGTCCGCGCCCCGCTCCTCGGCGACCTGGGCGTCGTAGAGCCGCTGGCGGATGCCCCAGGTGCGCCGCCGCGCGAGGTAGCCCCGCCAGAAGCACTGGAGCACCTGCGTCTTCTGCCGCTTGAGCTCGAGGAGCTGCGCGGCCGTGAAGTAGCGGCGCGACGCGCGCACGACGTCGCCCCGGTCGTCCATCAACAGGTCCTCGCGCTTCATCTGCGTGCCGTACTCGCGGTTCGACTGCGCGGACCGCGTCTTCGTCTCGTACGTCTGCGTGTCCCGGTTTCGCAGGCATTCGACGTTCTTGCGCTGGGGCAACAGCCCGAACTCGGCGGACTGGCAGGACGCGTGGTGGTAGACCTTGCCCGTCTTCTTGTGGCGGTAGCCGCCGAGGTAGGGCTTTCTTGTCGTGCATTTCGCGACGTCGACCGTGACGACCGCGCGCTCCTCGCCGTCGGGCCCCAGCACCAGGACCTCGATGGTCTCGGGCATGACGTACTCCGGGTCCGCGTAGGGCGGCCACTGCTCGTCGGCGTCGTTCTGGACGATCACCGGGGCGCCGCCCGCGCTCCCGGGCGCCGCGGCCGAGGCCTTGAGCGGGGGCTTCGTGGGATTCGCGCGCTCCTGGTGCCCGCGGATCGACGCCTGGAGCTTCGACGCGGCGAGGTTCGTCTCCTCGCTCGGCTCGACGTTCTCGTCGCCCATGGTGCGGCGCGGCGCGCCCGGCCAGCAGCGCGCGGCCCAAAGGAGCGGGGCAGCGTCGTTGCGGCGTCAATGATACGCCCAGTTTCGTGCAGTCGGCAGTATCTCCGGGGGCAGCGCCGCGCTCTCCTCGAGCGACGCGGTGGGGACCGCCATGTACTCCCTGGGCATCCACGACCTCCAGGAGAAGAGCCGCAAGGCCCAGGAGGCGAAGCTGCGGCGGCACCAGAGCTCCCAGGGCCAGTCGGTCCAGCGGCGCGACTTCGTGCTGTCGAGCGTCTACGGCAAGACCTTCGAGGAGATGAGCGGCGCCGCCGCGGAGCGGCGCGAGCAGTCCATGAGCGCGGCGCGGGAGCGGCCCGAGTCCTCGACCATGCTCGGCGACCCGGAGGAGCCGCCGGGCATGGTCTTCCACCACTCCTTCCGGGACCGCGACGAGGGCAGCGAGATCGGCGGGAGCACGATCTCGGGCCTCCGCTACGTGCCCCGGGCCTACTACGGCGGCGGCGGCGATTTAAATAGGGGCAAGACGGCCCAGCTCGACGCGCGGCGCGAGGTCGTCAACGGGTTGGAGCCGCGTCTAGCCACCGTGAGCTTGTGCGACGTCGGCAAGACGCGCGGCCGCTTGAAGCAGGGTCCCTACAGCAACCCGGGCTACTTCCTGCGCGTGCGCGAGCGGTCCAAGGAGCTCGGCCCGCCCCTGCGGAGCGGCCACAAGAACGAGCTCGAACGAGTGCACGCGCACCTCGCGTCGCTGACGCTGAACGACCCCGGCGCGTGGGTCGGCAACAAGGAGTTCGTCTTCCCGACGTGGCGGCACCCGAACCCGAAAAAGTACGCGGGCGCCCGCGTCGAGTACTGCACGACGCCCTGGACGCCCGCGACCCACGACGTCTCCGGGGACCTGCGCTGGGCGCCCGTGAACAAGGTCGAGAGCTACGTCGTCGCGCCCGACAGCAGCCACGCGATCAAGGATAGCATGGTGCCCTTCCGCGCGCGGCGGCCCAAGCTCGAGCTCGGCAACCGCTGGAACAACTCGCGCCTCCCGGAGAAGTCCGCGCCGGCGACGCCCGCGCCGGGCGCGTCGACGCGGAGCCTCCGAAGCTCGAAGAGCTGCCACGTGTCCCTCCGGGGGCTCACGCTCAAGTCCGCGCGCGCGTCCACGGGCAGCCTGTAACACGGGAGAGGGCGTCGGGGCTTCGGCGCGGCGCACCGTACCCCCGAGAGGACTCCGAGCACACAACTTACTTCTTGCTCTTGCGGCTCTTGGACTTCTCGCCCTTCTTGGGCCGGCGCCTGCGCCGCTTCGTCGCGCCGTCGTCGCCGAGGTTCTGGAGGTTCGCGCGGGCCGTGCGGAGCCACTTGACGGCGATGGCCCGCGAGGCGGCGTCGATGTCGAGGGGCTTGAGGGACTTGAACTGGGGCGCGTCGCCCTCGTCGTCGCTGAGCTCCGCGCGCGCGGCCGCGCGGCGCTTGCCGCCCTTGCCGAAGAGCTTCGTCGACGCCATGCGGTGCCACTTGATGAGGATGGCGCGCGACGCGGGCGAGAGGAAGACGGGCCCCCACTTGGGCCGGCCGTCGTCGTCGTCGTCGTCGTCGTCGCCGAACTCGCCGTCGGCGGCGACGGCCGCGGCCTCCTTGCGCTCCTCGAGCTTGGCCTTGGCGATGCAGTTCATGCAGATCGTGCGGTAGCGCTGGTTCTTGATCCAGAACGTCTTCCAGGCGACCTGGTCGAACTCCTGGTCCGGGTTCTCCGCGTCGAACTGGGCCGCCAAGACCTCGAGAGGGACGACGCACTCGACCTGGAGCTGGCGCCGGCTCAGGCAGTTCTCGCACTGCGTGCCCCGCGCCTTGGAAATCAAAGGCTGCACGACCTCCCGGAGGCGCATGCGCCGCCGCGCCTGCGCGAGCCACCAGCGCACGATCTGCCGCGACGACGCCTTCAAGGCCACGGGCCCGAACTTGGCGCCGTCGTCCTCCGAGTCCGAGGAGATGTCCTGGTTGAGCTGGTTCAGGATGCGCGTGAACTGGTTGATGAGGTAGGGCCGCGACCGCCGCAGCGTCCGCGGCGTCAGTATGGACGGCAGCTGGTTGATGAGCCACGCGCGGTTGTAGTTCAAGAACTTGAAGCGGAACGTCTCGGACGTGATCCTCTGGTTCATCATGAAGGCGTCGTGGGACGACCCCTTCAGGTCCTCCCAGCCGGGGATCTCGAACTCGTCCTGCTCCTGCATCTGCGTGTGCCACGCGGTGTTTTCGTGCTTCACGCGCCAGAGCTTCACGAGCAGCGCGAGCTTGATGACGCCCCACTCCACGGCCCAGCACACAAAGTAGCCCAGACCGACGATGAAGGGCGCCATCTGGTCGCCGAAGAAGTTGTAGTTCGCCTGGAGCATCATCTGGATCCCGAAGACGAACATCATGATGCCGTTGACGTGGATCGTGAGCATCATGTAGTACTGCGAGGAGAAGCACATCTGGTCCAGCGTGCGCACGGACTCGTCGATGCACTCGTCCAACGAATCCTCGAGGCCCTTCCACTTCGTCTCCCGCTGGAGGAAGCGGTACCGCGTGTAGATCAGGTAGTCGTAGATCTTCCACCCGTGGAAGAGCTCGAGCACCGACAGCGTGAAGACGTCCGCGACGAACTGGAAGGGGATCAGAATGAGAGAAAAGAGGAGGAAGTAGAGCATGTCGAGATTCTTAATGTTGTAGATGATCGTCATCTGGACCTCGTTGCGGTACGCGATGAGGATCAGCAGCACGAAGACGTTGTACAATAGAGCCATCGCGCCCGTCGAGTAGCCGCCGTAGGCGTCGAGGATCGGCTCGACGGTCTCGCCGCCCTCGGCGACGACGCCCTCGAGCTCGCGCTTCGCGAAGTTCGCCTCCTCCTCGACCTTCTCCTCGACCTTCGCGGAGCCGCCGCGGACCCACTTCGGCAACGAGCCCAAAAACGCGGACCACAGACCGCCCACGAACTCAAACAACCAATCCAGGAAGTCCGCCAGCCCCGGATCGAAATAGATCTGCTCCACGAGCCCCATGCCCAATTCGATGAAATAGCCGCCGAGGAAGTCGACGAAGTCGTCGCACGACAAGGTGACGACGCCGCACGTCACGTCGAACGCCGTCATCACCGGCGCCGATAGCAAAGCTTCCTGCAACTGGTTGTCCACGATGGCCCCTAAAAACTGGCCGATGGGCCGCAGCCCGATGATCACGAACCAGATGTAGGTGCCGAAGTACTGCCAGTAGGAGAACTCGCAGACGACGCAGCACAGCAGCCCGATCATGAAGGACGAGAAGATCAGGTTCGACCGCTTCCACATGTTGGGCTTCCAGATGTCCTCCTTCTCCGCCGCCGGGTCCCGCCGCTTCTGCATGTCGATCTCGCGCTGGGAGATGCGGTCCGGCAGGAACATGCGGCAGCCCGCGTACCAGCACATGATGGCCATCATGATGAACGAGAGCCCGAGCCGGCCCTTGCGCGCGGCGTCGAGCTTCTCCTTGATGATCACCGGGTCGCTCCACTCGATGGGCATCAGCCCCCGGTCCATGCTCTCGCCGCCCTCGCCGCTGTAGAGGAGGTAGTTGAAGGCCATGCCCGCCATCATCTCCGCGTAGATGCTGTCCGCGCGGTTCTCCAACGGGAACCCGGGCTGGAACGCGAAGAGCACGTGCGCGGGGATGACCTGGCGCACCATGACCGTCATGGTCAGCATGGCCAGCGTGATGGGAAACAAGCCCAAGATCACGCCCTGCGTCGGCGGGCCCGAGATCAGCAGCAGCATGGACCAGATCCGGAGCCGCGGCGGGTTCTCCAGGGCGGTAGTTAATCGCACAGAAACCCAGAGCACGAAGCCGACGAGCACCGTCATGCCGCCCGTGAAGGCGAAGATGCCGATAAACACCTTGGTCTCGAAGGCGAACCAGATAATCAGGTCGATGTAGTCCAGCGGGTGGTAGCTTAAAAGTAAGGTGTACTCGGGCAGCTCGACGGTGGGATCGACGCCCGCGGTGTTGAACTCCACGAAATGCAAAAAGGCAAAAATGATGTTCTTCTCCTTCCACGTGTCGGACACGCGCTGCTTGTAGCCGATCTCCAGGATCATGCGCGTCGGGTAGCAGCCGTAGCCGATGACGTCCGCGCACTCGCCGTCGCCGTTCGCCACGGACACGGGAATCAGCTCGTCGGAGTTGCGGCCGCGCTCGAAGACGATCTTCGAGCCCCCAAAGTTGTTCAGGTCCGCGATGGACCGCTCCGTCAATCGTTCCGTCTCCCGCCCCAGGTACTGGAGGTAGTCCACGGGCTGCTTGAGGAAGTAGAAGAGCGTGGACCCGTCGGGCGCGTTGAACCAGAGCGGCGCGTCCTCCGTGTCCGTGTCGCGCTCCTCGTAGGTGCACTCCACCGTGCGCTCGCACCAGTCCGCCAAGGGCACCATGTCGAACTGGACGAACAAATCCGGGGCCTTGACGGCCTGGATGGAGTCGAAGTGGGGCAGCGGCGGGTGCGAGTAGCGCTTCGTCGGCGTCGGCTTCGTCTCGGGCGTCTCGGCCATGCGCGTCGTGTCCGGCGGCAGCGCGCACTGGTCGCTCTCCACCAGGTTCGAGAAGGGGATGTAGGAGTCCCACTCGCGGCAGTTCGAGAAGTAGGGCATGTAGGGTAGCAAAACGTGCTTGTCCTCGATGAAGCCCTGCATGAAGTCCAACGAGTCCTCCGTGTCCGGGTTGATCTCCGGCCGGAAGAAGGTCTCGAAGTAGACGTCGTGGGCCGCGGACGCGGACGTGTCCACGGGGTAGCCGTCGGGCGGGTCGCACTCGCCCGCGAGCTCGTCGCAGACGTCGTACATGTCGTAGTCGCCCTGGAAGGGGTCGAACCACGTCGAGTCGACGATGAGGTCGCGGTCGTTCTGGACCACCGTGGGCACGGCGGCCTTGGCCTCGTAGGTCGTGTTGAAGCTCACGAGGACCCGGCCCCGCTCGTATTCTTTGTAGCGCGGCGGCATGTTCAGCGGCCGCGCGGCGTCCCGCTTGTCGGGGTTGTCGTTGTAGACCACCCCGATAATGTAGAACTTCTCCGTGTCGCGCTCCTCGAAGGACACGTAGGGCGACAGCTTGCGCCGCATCATGTCCGCGCCGATGGCCGCGCGCACGGGCACCTTGCCCGTGATCAAATCCGTTTTCTTCGACTCGCGGTTCCGGCTCCGCTCCTCCTCGCGGAGCAAATTTTGCGAGTACTCGTTGACGAACTTGGCCCGCCGCGGCGTGACGATCTGCACCGTGGCCGTGTTCCGAAAAAAGGCCGCGGCCGCGAGCCAGCCGCCGTGCATGATGTGGAACTCGATCTTGAAGATGACGTCGTCGAGCGCGAAGAGCGTCATGTTGAAGACGATGTTCTTGGGCGTCGTCGTCGAGTTGAACCATTCCGGTAAAAGCAGCGGCTGGCGGCAGGGGTACTTCTCCTGGGGGTCGAGGAACGCGCGCGACGAGTCGCACTCGGCCTCGTCGCAGCGGCTAGGCGCGACGTAGATCGCGAGGCGGTAGTGCTCGTAGTAGACCATCTCGCTCGGGAGATGCTGGAGGTCGAAGCTGAGCATGGCCGTCTCCAGGCCCCGGAGCGTGTACCAGCCCTCGTCGCGCGTGTGGTCGCCCTCCTCGGACGTGTCCATGTGGGAGCAGCGGCCGACGTCCATGGCGATCGTGTCCGCGTCGGGCACCCACTTGGAATTAATAATGTAGGTCATGACCGCCCAGGAGCCCGGCACCTCCTTGCGCTCCGGGTGCGTGTTCTGGAGCGTGTAGCGCGGCGAGACGTCGACGTAGGTCGCGTAGGGGTCGTCGAGCTTCGAGGAGAAGATCTTGCCGTTGTTCGTGACGTCGACGGCGACCTCGGCGCTGTAGCACGGGTTCCAGCGGTTCACGGACGCGCCGCCCGCGTAGAGCGGGTCGGGCCCGCGGATGTTCGGGTGCGCCGCGAGCTCGTCGTTCATCTCGTTCTGCGTCAGGCGCATGACGAGGTCCCTGATGGGCCGGAAGCCGTGGGGCGTCGCCGCGGTGACGGCGTCGTTGCACTCGCCGACGACGGTCTCGCAGCCGTCCTCGTCGTCGCAGTCTTCGGTTTGGGACTGTTCGCACTTGACGTAGCACCGCGCGTTGTCCTCCTCGGCGCAGGTCTGGAGGTAGTGGAGCTCGCCGTCGACCATGTGGCAGCTCTGGGGGAACTGGTTCGCGATGATCTGGGCGTCCGCGAAGTCGAACTTGGGGGCCTCGCACGCGACCCGCGTGTTACTAATAAAACGCCCGGGCGTCACGACGGACCGGTCGGCGACGTCGCGCAGCGACGGGTAGGTGCCCGTCTCCGCGTCGGGCGAGTAGTAGCCTGTGTGGAAATCAACCAGTGAGCTGGGACGTCGGGGCCAAACTTCTGAAATCTCTAGCTCGGTCAAATCGAAGTCGATTCGGCTGATTTTTGGACGAATCGATTGCTCTCGTCGAGTTCTCGAAGCACGGCGGAAGTGATCGTGTCAAAACATTCGAATACGCGCACATTGAAGTCGGGTTGAAGATTTGATTTCCACACAGGTAGTAGCGGTCCCAGCGGTCCGGCACCGCGCAGCTCCGCGGGTCGCGGCGGCCGTTGCCGTCGACGGTGAAGCGGCAGGCCGTGAAGCGGCACATGAGGAGCGACGAGTCGTAGAAGTTGCGGCCCACGACGATGATCTCCTCGCCGCCGCTCTCCTTGACGTACTCGGGGCACGTCCGGAAAAGTTCGACGGTCTCGTTGCGCCAGTTCGGGGCCGTGTAGTTGGGCGACACGGCGGACACGTTCACGGGCATGATGGACGCCACGACGGAGATCTCGCCGACGCCGTCGCCGCCGATGATCTGGTCGATCTCCCCCGAGCCGTCCATGATCGTGTAGTTCAGGAACGCGTAGTATCGTTGATCCTCGTAGGGGTCGAACTCGGACGCCACGCGCTTGTCGCAGATGTGCTGCGTCTCCACCAAACAGTCGCTCACGGCCGTCTGGCCGAAGGCGCTGGACGTCGTCGTGAAGTAGGGGCACCGGATCTCCGGGTGGCCCGGGTCCGCCGTCGCCGGCGGGCAGAAGTAGCCCACGGCGCAGCGGTCCCGGTTCCGCATCTGCTTCGTCGTGCCCGTGCGGCAGAAGTAGCCCGCGTCGCAGGCGTAGACGAACTGGTCCACGGGCAGCGTCTCCAGGCCGCAGTAGGTGCCCGCGGGGCACTTGTGCTCGAACATGGTGCTTCTGTCCGTGCCCGTGCCGCAGACGTGGCCCTCGGGGCACCGGTCGGACACGGACAGGTTGAACATGCCCTGCTCGCCGCAGACGCGGCCCTCGGGGCAGGGGAGGCACAGCGAGATGTCCGTGGAGCCGTTGGACGTCGAGTAGGTGCCCGTCGGGCAGAGGCGGCACGTCACGGAGTCCGCGAGGCTCCGGTACGTGCCCGCGACGCAGATCTTGGGCTCGTAGGTGCCGTAGCCACTGCACGAGTAGCCCGCGGGGCACACGGAGCAGGTCAGCGCCGCGGACAACGGCGCGTAGGTCCCCGGGAAGCACGTCGTCGGCGCGACGTAGCCGACGTCGTCCGCGAACGACCCCAACGGCACCTGGATCGGGTAGGACACGCCCGGCGGGCAGTAGTGGCCCGGGTAGCAGCTCCGCGACCCGACGGCGCTCGGCGACGCCTCGCGGCAGAACGTGCCCTCCGTGCAGACCTGGGGCGCGGAGATGCCGCCGGGCCGCGCGGGGATCCACGGGATCGTCAGGTTGTGCGCGACGCCGCCGACGCAGAACGTCCCCGGCGCGCAGGGCACGGGCCGGTGCGCCGTCGGGTCCGACGAGTCCAGCGTCAGCGTCCCCTTGGGGCAGAAGTAGCCCTCGGGGCACGTGAGCACGGGCATGCTGAGTCCGAGCGAGGAACAGACGAACCCGGCCGGGCAGATCTCCGGCGCGACGCGCGTCCAGCCCGGGCAGATGTGGCCCGTCGGGCATAACGTACAGTTCGACATGCCCGCCAGACCGTTGTAGGTGCCGGGCACGCACTCGCGCGGGAACGTGTTGCCCACGCCCGGGCAGTGGTGGCCTGTGTGGAAATCAACCAGTGAGCTGGGACGTCGGGGCCAAACTTCTGAACTCTCTAGCTCGGTCAAATCGAAGTCGATTCGGCTGATTTTTGGACGAATCGATTGCTCTCGTCGAGTTCTCGAAGCACAGCGAAATGGTCTGGTCCAAACCGTTCGATTACGCTCACATTGAAGTCGGGTTGAAGATTTGATTTCCACACAGGTGGTGGCCCAGGGGGCACGCGACGGCCAGCATCTGCGTCGGGCAGAAGTGGCCCGTCGGGCAGGGCCCCTCGCCCTCGGGGCTCCCGGAGCCCGCGGGGCAGAAGTAGCCGTCGAAGCAGCGCTGGGGCGTCGAGAAGTTGCCCGGGATGGACACGGGGCTCGACGCGCCGCGCGCGCAGTACGTGCCCGGCGGGCAGGGGAACGGCAGCTCCGCGAGCACCGCGCGGCTGCTCGACATGGGCCGCGCGGCGTCGAAGGGCCGCGGCGGGTGGATGCCCGGCGCGTAGGTGCCCGTCTCCGGGAGAGACCGCCGGTCGAGGCGCCAGTCGCGGCGCGGCGGCACGAGATAGACGACGCCCGTCTCCGCGTCGCGCTCGTACTCCGAGTTGTTCGCGAAGGCGAAGGGGTCCGACGACTTCGTCCCCGGGTTGCAGTAGTGGCCCGGCGGGCAGAGCGTCTTCGGCTCCCGCTCGCCGAGGTCGGAGCACACGAAGCCGCCGGGGCAGAGCACGGGCTTCGAGAGCCCGAAATCCGGGCAGTAGTAGCCCACGGGGCAGGCGAGGCACGCGACCTGGCCGCCCCGCGGCTGGAAGGTGCCCGGCGGGCAGAGCGTGAAGTTCGTCGGCTTGGCGCCCCGGCAGAGCGTGCCGTTGGGGCAAGGCTTCGCGGAGCCCAGCGTCTCGTAATACCCCTTCTCGAGCTCGTCGTAGTACTCAAAGGCCGCGGCGCCGTCCGAGTAGTCGAGCCCGTTGACGGAGACGCGCACCTCGACGTAGCGCGGCAGCAGGGACACGCGCGACGAGTACTCGTCGCGGTCCTCGGCCGCGTCGCCCGTGCGGAGGCTCCGTCGATCCATCTGCGGCGCGCCGCCGGACTCGCGGTGGCCGCGCGCGAGCGCGTCGACGTTCGGGGGCACGCAGGCGACGACGCTCGAGGACACGTAGGTGCCCCGCACCTTGACGTCGCCGAAGGCGCACTTCAGCGCCGTCGAGTTGACGAAGTTGGCGCCGACGACGAAGACGGGCGCGCGCGCCGTCGCGAGCGCCCGCGACGGCCAGACGGACGTCACGAGCACCTCCGGCACGTACAACAAATTCAGCGTGTTCGACGCCATGTCGCGGCCGTTGACCGTGACGTGCACCGACGCGAGGCCCGGCGCGCGCGCGGGCGCGACGCAGGAGATGGCACTCTCGGAGAGGAACCGCGCGGGCACGCGCGAATTATCAAAAAAGCAGGCCAGCTCCAGCGTGTTCCGGAAGCCGGACCCGAAGACGGACACGGCCGTCGCGCCGATCTGCCCCATGGACATGAGGGGCCACAGGGACTCGATCTTCGGCGTTTCCGCGAACGCGTATTTCAGGAACGTGCCGTAGAAGTCGACGCCGTTGAGCGACACCTCGAGCATCGCCTCGCCCGCCGCGTGGGGCGGCGTGACGCATAACAGGCGCTCCGACGAGAGGAAGACGGCGGCGACCGTCGCGTCCCGCCCGAAGCGGCACCTGGCTTCCCGCCGGTCTTTGAAGCCGCGGCCCCGCAGAACGACGCGCGTGCCGCCCTCGCCGGGCCCCGCCGCCGGCGACAGGCTCCGCACCTCCGGCGTCGCGTCGTAGGCGAACGTGGCCGTCGACCGCGAGAACGTCTCGTTGTCGCAGGACACGGCCACCGCGACCTTCCGCGGCCGCCGGCCGTCGGACGGCGGCGCCGCGCATCGTACCTCCACGTCGCTCACGACCGACGCCGGCGCCAGACTATCGCCGAAACGACAGAGGACATCTCCGAAGAAGTGGGACCCGAAGACGCGCACGGCCGTCGCGCCCTTCAAGGGGCCGGACGCCGGTTCCAGAGCGTAGACCGACGGCTCGGACGCGAACGTCACCTCCGCGTAGGTCGGGCTCCAGAAGCCGCCGCCGTCGTTGGACACCTGTAAGCGCACGCGGCTCGGGATGCGCGCCGGCGCCGCGCAGGTCAGGGTGCCGTCGTCCTGGAACGTCGCGGCCGCGACGAGGTCGCCGAAGCGGCACGCGAGGGCGTCCGAGTGCCGCGCGAAGTTTCGTCCCTCCACCGTGACCAGCGCGCCGCCCTCGGCCAAGATCACGGCCGGCGTCGCGGCGTAGACGACGGGGAACTCGCCGTCGGCGCCCGGGTCCGTCGCGACCACGGCCTCGTAGGTGAAGGCGAATCGTCGACTCAGCGTCGGCTGCTTCTCGGACGCGATCTCCAAAAAGGTCGCGACGTCCTCGTTGCGGCGCCAGCGCGGCGCGACGCAGGCGAGGTTCGTGGCGCTCAGGAAGACGGCGTCGACGGTCGAGCCGCCGAAGTTGCAGCTCGTCCGGCCGTCGTCGACGAAGCCCGTGCCGGATATCGCCACGACGGTGCCGCCGTCGCAGGGCGCCGCGAGCGGCGCCGCGTCCGTCGCCGTCGCCGACGAAATGTACGTGAACACGTGGCCGCTCGCCAGCGGCGGCTCCGCGGCGTCGTAGACCAGCGACACGGCGACGGCGACGCGGTCGTCGCCGCGCGGCGGCGACGCGCACGTCACGGCGCTGTCGCTTAAAAGGGTCGCGTTGGTCTCCCGGTCGCCGAAGCGGCAGGCGACGGGCCCGTGGGCCGTCGAGAAGCGGCCGACGACGGTCACGGACGTGCCCCCGTTCTCCGGGCCGTAGGGCGGGTCCACGCCGACGACGAGCGTCCGCGGCTCGTACGCGTATTCGGCGGCCGCCGCCGACGCGTCCTCGCAGGCGTCGACGCGCGCGACCGCCGCCCGCGTCGACGGCGGCGCGACGGCCCGGACCTCGCTCGACGAGACGAAGGTCGTCCGGGCCGACACGCCGTCGAAGCAGATCAGCGTCGTCGTCGTGAAGCCGCTGCCGCGCACCCTAACGACGCCGCCGCCCGTCGTCGGCCCGCCCGTCGGCGACACCGCGACGACGGCCTCGCCGAGGACGTAGGAAAAGGGGAAGCTGCCGACGACGTCGCGGAAGACGCGGACATGGACCGTGATGGCCCCCGGCGGCCGCGCCGGCGCGACGCAGCGCAGGAGCGACGCGTTGACGACCGTCGCCGGAACCCGAAGGCCGCCGAAGTCGCACGTCGTCTTGGAGTTCCCGTCGAAGCGGTCACCGGTGACGTTCACGACCGCGCCGCCGAGGTGCGTCGTCTCGAGAGGCGCCGCGGATCGGACGACGGTCGGGCTGACGTACGCGAAGGACGCGGACGAATGAGACGAGCGTAGCCCGCCGAGCGACGCGGCGACGGCGACCGTCGCCGGGAAGGGCGCCGCGGGCGTCGCGCACTCGATCTCCACGGACGAGACCCACGTCGCGGGGACCGATGATTCCCCAAACACGCATGCGAGGTCCACGGCGTTGGGGAAGTTGGCGCCCTTTAAAGACACCGTCGTGCCGCCGCGGTCCGATCCGAAACTCGGGTCCGCGCGGTAGACCTCGACGGGGTCGACGTACTCGAGCTGGGCCGGCGGGCCGACGGCGACGTCCGCGCCGTCGACGGCGCACACCGCGGCCACGACGACGGCGTCGGACGGGAGCGTGGGCGTCCAGGCCGGCGCCGCGCAGGATAAAGTGGAATTTGCGAACGTCGCGGCGACTCGCGCGTAGCCGAAGAGGCACGCGCAGTCCGTCGCGTGGTCGGGCACGCCCGAGACCGCCAATGTCGTCGTAAAGCCGCCCGTGCGCCAGCCGCGCGCCGGGCTGAGTGCTAGAAGCGTCGGCGTCGCGAGGAAGGTGAAGGCCGCGGACGTCGTCCCGAACGACCGGCCGTCGACCGCGACCCGCACGTCCGCGACCTCGCCGGCGCCGCCCGTCGCCGGCGCCGCGCAGTCCACGACGTCCTCTTCGACGTAGGTCCCCGACACCGGCGCGTGGTCGCCGAAGCGGCAGGCGAGGAGGCCCGGCCCGCGGACGTTCGACGCGCGGACGCGGACCAGCGCGCCGGGCGCCGCCGCCGCGGGCTCGAGCGACGACGCGTGCGCCTGGGGCCGGAAGCGGAACGTCGCGAAGGGCGCCGGCACGGGAATGGTCGCGCCGTCGACGGAGAAGCCAAAGGCGACGGGGCCGGCCAGGGCCGGCGTGTGGCAGAAGGCCTCGTCCGTCGCGCCCTCCGAGAAGAACGCGTCGACGGTCTCGTCGCCGAACGCGCACGCGAGCCGTTCGCTCCCCGTCGCGAGCACCGTGAGGGCGATCGTGACGCGCGTGCCCCCCAGGGCCGGCGCCGTCGTCGGCGACACGGCGAGGACCTCGGGGGCCGGCGCGACCGCGGGCGTTCGCTCGACGGCGTCGAACGACGGAGGTTCGGGCGCCGCGCCCGCGGCCGCGACGTCGCCGAAGAACTCCACGAAATCGACGCCGTTGTTCGAGACGGCGGCGCGCGTCGACTCGTCGAGCGCCGGCCGCTCCGACTTTGGCGGGAAGAAGCAGACGACGAGCGTCGACGACATCCACTTGGCCTCGAAGACCCGCCCGGCGAGGCGGCACGACAGGCCGACGCCGTCGAGGAAGTTCGCGCCCGTGGCCGCGAGCGCGCCGTCCTGGAGGCCCTCGGTCATGGCGTAGATCGCGATGGGATGCTCGTAGTCGTAGGCGAGGGCCGACGACCGGGACCCGTCGCCGCCGTCGACGACCGCGAGCGCGACGCGCCGCTTCCCCGCCGCGGCCGGCGCGACGCAGGCGAGGGCCGACGCGTTGACGAGCGCGGCGGCGACGTCCCGGTCCCCGAAGGCGCAGGAGGCGTCGGCCGGCCGCTCCGAGAACGTCGAAAAGTCGCCGAGGATCGTCACCAAGGTGCCGCCCGTCGACGGGCCCGTCGCGGGCGCCGCCACCTGAAGCGCGAGGGACGCCGCGACGGAAAAGGGCACGCCGGGGCTCAGGGGCGCCGTCGACGGCGACGCCACGGTGAGCGCGACGACGCCCGCCGCCAGGGGCGGGCTCAGGCACCGGAGCGCGTCGCGGCCGACGATCTCCGCCGGAACGTACGCGTCGCCGTCGAAGACGCAGGACGCGCCCGGCGCCAGGGCCGCGAGGTTGACGCCGGTCACCGTGATCAACGTGTCGCCGGCCGTCGATCCCAGGGACGGCTCTACCGCTCCGACGGACGGCGCCGCGTAGGCCGCGTAGCTCCAGGGCAGCGCGGCGTCGACGTCGTCCAAACCGTTCAGCCGCAGCGTCACGTCCGTAGAAAACCCGGGCGCGAGCGCCGGCGCGATGCAATACACGTCACCGTCGACGACGCGCGCCTCGGCGACCGTCGTGCCGAAGACACAGGCCGCGTCCAGTGTTGTTGTGTTTTCTGAGACGGAGACGCCGTCGACCCGGACGGCGGCGCCGCCGAGCTCCGACCCGCGCGCGGGGCCGCCGCGGGCGCTGAAGGGCGGCGCGAGGCGCGTGTAGAAGACGTCCTGGGTCGAGTACTCGACGCCGTTGACCGTGACCTCGACGCGGCTCGTCGTCGCCCGCAACGTGTCGGGCGCGGCGCAGCGAAGCTTCGTCGCCGACACGTACGTCGCGGCGCTCGCGGGCGCGTCGCGCGGGTCCGCCTCGTCGGAGACGAAGCGGCAGCCGAGTTGTGCCGTGTCGCGGAAGCGCGCGCCCTCGACGAGGAGCGCGCGCGACGCGCGGTAGCCCGAGGCCGGCGACACGGAAAAGGCCGCCGGAGCGTCGTCGAACGAAAAGTCGGCGGAAATTTCCGAATAGTCGGCGCCCCCGTTCGTCGACAGGGCCAGGGACGACGCCCCGCGGAGCTGGGGCGGCGCGACGCAGAGGACCCGGCCCGGCGCGAGCCACGCGCCGGGGACGGAGTCCGCGCCGAAGCGGCACGCCGCGTCCGTCGTCGGCGTCTCCGCGAAGCGCGCGGACACGACGACCTCCGCGCCGCCCGTCGGCGACCCGACGACGGCGTCGACGTCGAGGATGATGGGCGCGCCGCCAACTTCAAAATCGACGCCGTCCGCGTCGAGGACGCCGTCCGCGGTTTGAACGCGGACGCGGTAGACGCCGGCGGCGGGGAACGGCGGCGCCTCGCAGCGGATCTCCGACGACGAGACGAAGACCGCCGGGGCGGCGGTTCCAACGCCAAAGTCGCAGGCCAGGCCGCCGCTGGGCTCGAAGCCCCGGCCCTTCAGAGCGACGACGGTCCCGCCGGCCGCGGGGCCGCGATTCGGCTCCGCGGCGTGGACCTCGAGCGGCGCCGTGAAGTCTACCGTGAGGCCCTCGCTCACGTCGACGCCGTTGAGCGACACGGCGACTTCGACGGCGCCGGCGCCGCGCTTCGGCGACGGGCAGGTGACCTCGGGGCCCGCGACGGCCGTCGGTGCGACGACGACGTCGCCGAAGTGGCACGCGACCCCTTGAGCGGCGTCGTCCTCGAGCGTGACGACGACGGGCGTGCCGCCGCCGCCGGGGATTATTCTTGGCGTCACGGCGACGACGACGACGACGGCGTCGTAGGCGAAGGTCGCGGCCGTCGCCGCGCGCGCGCCGTCGAGCGCGAGCGTCAACGGCACGGCGCCCGGCGCCGCCGCCGGCGGCGCGAGGCATCTGACCTCGTCGTCGGCGACGCGGACGGCCGCGGTTAATGGTAGATCACCGAAGGCGCAGGCCAGGCGCGCCGACGCGGCGAAGGGCGCGAGGCGCGCGCCGAAGACCGACACGTCCGTGCCGCCGCGCGCGGGCCCGCGCGTCGGGCCCGCGGAGACGACGGACGGCAGCTCCACGACCTGGAACGGGACGGCGTCGACGCGACTCGCGAAGTGCGCGCCGTCCAACGCCGCGGAGACGGCGTAGAGGCCCGGCGGCAGCGACGGGACCGCGCAGCGGAACTCTGAGGTTGATAAAGCATCAGCCGCCACCACCGTCTCCCCGAACGCACACGCGGCCCCCGCCGCCGGGCGGCTCGCCCCCGGGGGCGCCGTCGTCGTCACCGTGACGAGCGCGCCGGCGGCGCCGAAGGCCGGGGCCACGCCGGCGACGTGCGGGAGCTCGTAGTACGCGAAGCTCGCGCCGACGGCCGCCGGCAGATCCGCGCTGTAGCCGACGTCGAAGTCGACGTCGCCCGGGACCCCCGGCGGCGCCGCGCAGGCCAGGGCCGACGCGTTGCGGCGCGCCGCGGGCGTCGACGCGTTGCCGAAGCGGCAGTAGAGCGGTGCTTCGCCGGGGAAGTCGCCCAAAACCGTCAGCGCCGCCGATCCGGCGACGGGCGCGGACCGCGGGACCACGGCGTCGACGCGCGGCGCGGCGGCGAAGGTGATCTCCGCGCCCTCGAAGCGCGCCGCGATGGCCTCGTGCTCGAGGACCGTCACGTCGACGGTCCGCGGCGCGCCCGCGGGAGCCGCGGGCGTCGCGCAGTAGACCTCTCCGTCCAACACGTCCGCGCGCGTCTCGAGCCCCCCGAAGTCGCAGGCCACGGGCAGCCCGAAGGCATCCCCGGAGGCGTTCGCGGAGATCCGCACGACGGCGCCCGACTCCTCGAAGGCGAGGGAAGATGGTGTCAACGACGACAGCAGGCTCCTGGCCACAAAAGACACGTTCGCGCCGGATGCGCCGGGCCGCCCGCAGTCGTTCTCGACGGTCAAGAGGGCCACGCCCGGCCCCCGCGCGGGCACGGCGCAGTCGACGGCGTAGCTCGAGATCCACGTCGCGGCGGCGGGGACGCCGTCCCAGGCGCAGCAGAGCTTTTTGGAGTTGACAAAGAGCCCGCCGTGCGCGCGCGCGGTCTCTGCGCCGCCGTCCTCGCCGGCGGCGACGCGCGCCGGCGTCGCGGCCGTCGTCGCGGGCGCCGCGCCCGACGCCGCCCCGAGGCGCAGGGCGCCGCAGCGGTCCCGCGACTGGACGCCGTCGACGACGACGCAGATCACGACGTCGTCGCGCAGGCGCGACGCCGGGAAGGCGCAGCTGTCGCCGGCGACGTCGGCGTCCGCGCCCGTGACGGCGTCGTAGCACGCGAGATCGCTCGCGGGGTCCGCGTCCACGGTCAGCACGAGCGACCCCTCGGCCGTCGTCTCGGACGCGACGACCAAATCCGCGAAGCCGCGGCGCTCCGCGGCGTCGAAGGCCAGCGGCACGTCGCCGAAGAAGGTGGCGCCGTCGTTCGACAGGGCCAGACGCACGTGCCCCGTCGCGGCGAGCCGCGGGGCGACGCAGCGGAAGGCGCCGTCGGCCGCGGCCGCGACCACGCGATCCCCGAATCGGCACGCGGCCTCCGCCGTCGCGTGCTCGAAGCCCACGCCCGCAACTGCAACAACGTCTCCGCCGGCGATCGCGGGCGCGAACGGCGCCAGGAGCGCGTTGGCGTGCGGGTCCGGCAGCGCGACGAAGGGGACGGATGGGCCCGCCGCGGCGTCGCCGAGTCGGACGACGCGGAGCTCGACGGTCCCGGGCTCGAGGGGCGGCGCGACGCAGAGCACCGCCGCCGCCGACACCCAGACGGCGTCGACGGCGACGTCGCCGAAGGCGCAGGCCAGGGCGGCGTCCCGGGGGAAGTTGGCGCCCGCGACGGTCACCGTCGCGCCGCCCGCGGCGGACGCCGCGGCCGGGCTCGCGGACCGCGCCTCGACGTCGTGGAAGAAGGCGAAGGCGACGCCCTCCGAACCGGCGACGGCCGCGTCGTAGGAGAAGGTCAGGAGGCACGACTCGCCGGCGCTCGGGGGGGAGACGCACGCGGCTGTTGTTGTGTTCGCGATCGTCGCCGCCACGCCGACGCCCCCAAAGTGGCAGTAGAGGCCGCGCGACAGATCAAAGACGCCGCGGAGCGCCACCGTCGCCCCGCCGACGGCGGGGCCGCGCGCCGGCGCGTAGGCCGCGACGACGGGCGCGTCGCCGACCGCGAGCGCGGCGTCCGCGAGCGACGCGTTCTCCAAACGCGGCACGCCCTCGCTGAGCACGGACACGGACGACGTCCCCGCGGGCGGCAGCGGGCACTCGACGGCGTTCTCGGAGACGTGCGTCGCGTAGCGCCAGGCGCGGCCGTCAAAAATACAAAGCATCTCGCGCGCCGCGTCGAAGTTCGTGCCGAGCGCTCGCACGGACTCGACGCCGCGCGCGGTCGTCGCGCGCTCGACGGACGACACGGTCGTGCGGTGCGCCGCGGACACGGCGGCGTCGGCGACCATCGTCGCCGCGCGGCCGCCGCCGACGAGGGCCACCGTCGCGTTCTCGGCGCCGGAGGGCAGCGGGCACTCGACGCGCGAGGACGACACCCACGCGGCCTTGTGTGTGTCGTCGCCATAGTCGCAGGCGAGGTCCTCGACGTTGGGGAAGTGGGCGCCCCGGAGGACGACGACGTCGCCGCGCACGTCGACGGACGCGACGACGGCCCGCGCGCGCGCGACGACGCGCGCCTTGTTCGAGACGGCGTCCAACGCGCCGGCCGAGAGCGCGACGACGGCCGCGGCGGCGACGACGGACGCGTCGACGTCGCACTCGACGCGATCGTCCGTCAATGCCGTGATTTCTACGAGCACCGTGTCGTCGATGACGCAGTGCGAGAGGTATGGCGCGTCGAGGAAGCCGGCGCCCTCCACGACGACGGTTGTGTTCGTGTCATCCTCCCGGAGCGCCGCCGAGTCCACGTGGACCTTGTCGACGTAGGTGAAGGCGCCGGGCAGCAGGGAGAAGTGGAAGCCGTCGTTGAGCGACAGCCAGAGGTCCACGGGGCCCGGTTCGCCCCAGCCCGGGGACACGCAGCGGATCTCGTTCTTCGAGACGACCTGCGCGTAGGCCGTCGTGCTCTCGCCAAACCGACAAAGAGGCGCGATGTTCGTCGCGTCGAAGGCGTCGAGGTTCGTGCCCGTGATCGCGACCTCCGTGCCGCCCGCGAGGACGCCGACGGCCGGCGACGCCGCGAACAACGTCGCCGGGTGGAAGTAGTCCAACACCACGGCCGCGGCGCTCAGCTCCGATTTCGCGTGGCCCACCCGTAGGACGACGTCGGCGTCGCCTCGCCGCGGCGGCGCGAGGCAGGCGATCTCCGTCGCGCTCAAGACGGACGCGGGCTCGAAACTCCCGGAAAAGTCGCAGTAGACGGGCAGCCCCGCGTCGAAGTCGCCGCCGGCGACCTTGACGAGCCCGCCGGACTCCGGCAGCACCGCGGGCGTCGCGGCGACGAGCGTCGGCCGCGGCGCGAAGGCGAAGTCGACGGCGGCCGCGTCGTCGAAGCCCGTCTCGCCGTAGACGCGCAGCGCGAGCGATCCGAAGCCCGCGGGCGCCGCGGGCGCGGCGCAGGTCACGGCGTCGCCGACGGCGGCGTCGACGACCACGTCGCCGCCGTCGAACCCGGAAAAGACGCAGGCCGCGGCCGCGTCCGCGTCCAGGTTCGCGACGTCTAACGTGACGACCGCGCCTCCGGCGACGTCCGCGACGTCCGGCGCCGCCCCCGTGAACGACACCCCCGCGTCCGCGGCGGCGAGGTCCAGCGCGAACTCCGCGCACCCGGAGGTCTCGTAGCAGACCGTGACGTTGGCCACGCGCCCGCCCGGCGGCACCGCGCACTCGACGCGGTTCGAAAAGCGGTGGAACGCGTCTTCGACGAGCGCTCCGTCGTAGACGCACATGACGGAATCCGCGAAGTCGTCGAGGAAGCCGCTCCCGAAGACGTCGAGCGTCGTCGTCGACGCCGTGACGATGGACGGCACGGCGTAGTTCAGCACGACGTTCGGCGCGACCTTGACGTCGGACGACGACGCGGAATAATCGAAACCGTTGTTCGACGCGCGCACGGCGCCGACGCCCGTGTTCGCGAGCCCCGCGGCCATGGACGCGACGTAGGCGCGGTCCTTGACCGGCGGCGGGCTGCAGGCGAGGCGGCTCGAGCTGATGAAGCGCGCGGCTTGCGCCGCGCCGTAGACGGAGCACGCGAGCGCCGGCGAGTCGACGAAGTGCGCGCCGACGACGAGAATCTCCCCGCGCGTAGACGCGGAGAACACCCGGGGAAAGACGTTGAAGACCTCGACGGGCTCGTGATAGACGTACGTCGCCGTCGACGACGTCGTCGCGGCCGTCGCGCCCAGTGCGCACGGCGCGACGGAGAGAACGACGTCGCCGGCCAAGTGCGGCGGCGCGGCGCACGCCTTTGAAGACGCGTCGACGGCGGCCGCTACGTCATCGAAGAAGCAGCAGAGCCCCGCGACGTCCGGTGCGTCGACGGCGACGGCCGTGCCCCCCGTCGTCGGGCCCAGCAGCGGCGCGAACGTCGCGGCGAGCGCGTCGAAGGCCTCGTAGGTCAGCGACGCGCGCGGCGCGTCCTCGACGACGACGGTCAACGCGTAGGCCCCGGCGTCGAGGGCCGGGGCGACGCAGGCGAGGGCGCCGTCGCCGCCGCGCGTCGCGGCGACGTCGACGACGCCGAAGCGGCACCGCGCGTCCGCGCCGTCGAACGCGGCCGGCGACGACGCGGCGATCGCGAGCTCCGCGCCGCCGGCCGCGGGGCCGGACGCGGGCGTCACGGCGTACGTGACGTCCCCGGCGAGGTACGCGAACGACGCGCTCGACGCGCCCCAGTCCCGCCCGTTGACCGTGACCTCCACGCGAACGGTCCCCGCGCCCGCCGGCGACGCGCAGACGAGCTCCGTCGCCGACACCCAGCGCGCGTCGCTCAGCGCCGAGCCCCCGAAGCGGCACGACAGCTCGCTCGCGTCGACGAAGTTCGACCCGTACACCGTGATCGGCTCCCCGCCGCTCCGCGCGCCGCTCCCGGGGTGCACCGAGATCGCCGCCGGCTCCGCGACGAAGCCGTAGGTCGCGTCGCTCGCCGCGCCGACGGCCGCGTCCCCGGCCGCGCCCACGCGCACGGCGACGGACCCCTCCGCGTGCGCCGGCGCCACGCACCGCAGCAGCGTCGCCGACACGACCTCCACGGACGCCGCGGGCGCGTCGCCGAACGCGCACGTCACGGACGACGCGTACGCGAGGAACCCGGACCCCTCGACGGCGACGACCGTCCCGCCGCCGGTGCCGCCCCGCGGCGGGCTCAGCCCGCTCACGACCATCAGCGGCTTGTACTCGAACGCGTCCGACGCGCCGTACAGGACGCGCCCGTCGTCGACGACCGCGAACGACACGCTCCCGGCCCCGTGCGCCGGGGCCACGCACCGCAGCTCCGACGAGCTCACGAAGCTCGCCGCGACATCCACGAACGCGAACCGGCACGCGAGCGTCGTCGAGAACGCGAGGTCGCTCCCCGTCACCGTCACCTCCGTGCCGCCTGTCGACGGGCCCGACGCGGGCGACACGCCGCTCACGACCGCCGTCGCCAGGTACGAGAACGTGGCGCCGTCGTCCGTGAAGTCGGCGCCGTTCACGCTCACCTCGACGGCGACGTCGCCCGCGGCTCCCGCCGGCGCCTCGCACTCGAGCTCCGTCGAGTTCACCCACCGCGCGGGCGCGGTCGCCGTCCCGAAGCGGCACGCCAGCAGGCTCGAGTCCGCGAAGTTGAGCCCCCGCACGATGACCGTCCCGCCGCCGGCGACGCCGCCCGACGCCGGCTCCAGGGACAGCACCTCCGGCACGGCCACGTAGCGGTACTGGGACGTGCCCGCGTACGCGTCGGCGCCGTTGATGCTCACGCCGACGGCCACGGCGCCGGCCGCGGCCGCCGGGGCCGCGCAGCGCACCTCCGTCGCCGACGCGACCGTCGCCGGGATCGCCTCGTCGCCGAAGAGGCACAGCGTCACGTCCTCGAAGCCCGAGCCCAGGATCGTCACCGCGGTGCCGCCGGCGACGGCCCCGACGTCCGGCGCGATCGACGCGACGACCGGCGACACCTCGTAGACGAAGCTCGACGCGAGGTCGACGTAGTCCTGCTTGTTGTTGCTCACGGACAGCGTCGCGGGCCCGGACTCGCCGGACGGCGACGCGCAGCGGATCTCCGTCTCGGAGACGAACGTCGCAGCGACCTCGGTCCAGCTGAAGCGGCAGTACAGCAGCGTCGAGAACCGGAAGCCGGAGCCCTCGATGGCGACGACGGTGCCGCCGTTCGCCGGGCCCGACAGCGGCGACGCCGCCGCCAGATCCAGGGCCGCCGCGTAGACGAACTCGAGCGCGTCCGCGCTCATCTGCTGGTCCGCGACGCCGAGCCGCACGGCGACGGCGCCCGGCGCCGCCGCGGCCGGCGCGACGCACTCGGCCTCCGTCGAGGAGACCCAGCGCGCGTCGACGTCGAGGGCGCCGAAGCGGCACCGGAGGTCCGTCGAGTCCGGGATGTTCAGGCCCGAGACGGCGACGACCGTGCCGCCCGCCGCCGGGCCCGACGCGGGCTCGAGCTGGCCGAGGAGCACGCCGGCGACGTACCTGTAGGTGAGGTCGACGCCGGCGCGCGCCTCCGCGCCGTTGAAGGACAGCGAGAGCTTCGCGGTCCCCGCGGCCGCGGCCGGGCTCTCGCAGCGGACCTCCGACGCGGAGACGACGCCCACGGCCGCCGCGGGCACGTCGCCGAAGAGGCATGCGACGTCGCCGGCGTCCACGGGGAAGTTCGCGCCCGCGAGCGCGACGACGGTGCCCCCCGAGACGCCGCCGAACGCGGGCCGCGCGCCGAGGACGACCGCCTCGGGCCAGAAGGCGAACTCGGCGACGTCGACGAAGTCGAGGCCGTTGCCGCTCAGCGCGAGGACGACGGCGCCCGCGTCGTGCGCCGGCGCGACGCACGCGAGCTCCGTCGGCGAGACGAAGCGCGCGGCGACGACGGCGTCGCCGAAGCGGCACGAGAGCGACTCGGAGTAGGCGAAGCCGTCGCCGGTCACGGTCACCTCGACGCCGCCGGCGACGGAGGCCGACGCCGGCTCGACGGCCGTCGCCGCCAGGTCGTCGAGGTAGACGAAGTCGACGGCGCTCGCGTAAAAGTCCGCGCCGTTGCCCGAGACGCGCACCGGCGCCGCGCCCGCGGCGCGCGGGGGCGTCGCGCACTCGGCCCGCGTCGCGGAGACCCAGCGCGCGGGGACGACGGCGCCGTCGAAGGAACAGGCGAGGTCCTCGGAGTCGATGAAGTGCGCGCCGACGACGGCGACGACCGTGCCCCCCGCCGCGGGGCCCGAGGCCGGCTCGAGCGCGAGCGCGAGGGGCTCGCGCGCGTAGCGGTAGAGGACGCCGTCCGACACGGCGTCGACGCCGTTGCCGCTCACGGCGACGCGGACGACGCCCTCGGCGTGCGGCGGCGCCGCGCAGCGGAGCGCGGCGCCCGCCTCGAGGACCGTCGCCTCGGCGACCGCGTCGCCGAAGAAGCACGACGGCGCCGCGGGGAAGTTCGACCCGCGGAGCTCGACGGCCGTGCCACCGGCGATGCTGCCCATGGTCGGCGCGATGCCGTCGAGCGTCGCCGGGGCCTCGAAGGCGAACGCGCCGACGTCGGTGAAGTCGACGCCGTTGGAGCTCAGGGCCAGGACGACGGTCTCACGCCCGGCCCACGTCGGCGCGACGCACCGGATCGTCGACGCGTCGACGAAGGCCGCCGCCATGACGAGGTAGGTCTCGTCGTTGCTGAAGCGGCACGCGAGCTCCGCCGTGAACTGGAAGTCCGCGCCTCCGACGGTGACCTCGGTGCCGCCGGCCGCGGGGCCGGACGCGGGCGTCACGGCGTACGCCACGTCCCCGGCGAGGTACGCGAACGACGCGCTCGACGCGCCCCAGTCCTGCCCGTTGACAGTGACCTCCACGCGAACGGTCCCCGCGCCCGCCGGCGACGCGCAGACGAGCTCCGTCGCCGACACCCAGCGCGCGTCGCTCAGCGCCGAGCCCCCGAAGCGGCACGACAGCTCGCTCGCGTCGACGAAGTTCGACCCGTACACCGTGATCGGCTCCCCGCCGCTCCGCGCGCCGCTCCCGGGGTGCACCGAGATCGCCGCCGGCTCCGCGACGAAGCCGTAGGTCGCGTCGCTCGCCGCGCCGACGGCCGCGTCCCCGGCCGCGCCCACGCGCACGGCGACGGACCCCTCCGCGTGCGCCGGCGCCACGCACCGCAGCAGCGTCGCCGACACGACCTCCACGGACGCCGCGGGCGCGTCGCCGAACGCGCACGTCACGGACGACGCGTACGCGAGGAACCCGGACCCCTCGACGGCGACGACCGTCCCGCCGCCGGTGCCGCCCCGCGGCGGGCTCAGCCCGCTCACGACCATCAGCGGCTTGTACTCGAACGCGTCCGACGCGCCGTACAGGACGCGCCCGTCGTCGACGACCGCGAACGACACGCTCCCGGCCCCGTGCGCCGGGGCCACGCACCGCAGCTCCGACGAGCTCACGAAGCTCGCCGCGACATCCACGAACGCGAACCGGCACGCGAGCGTCGTCGAGAACGCGAGGTCGCTCCCCGTCACCGTCACCTCCGTGCCGCCCGTCGACGGGCCCGACGCGGGCGACACGCCGCTCACGACCGCCGTCGCCAGGTACGAGAACGTGGCGCCGTCGTCCGTGAAGTCGGCGCCGTTCACGCTCACCTCGACGGCGACGTCGCCCGCGGCTCCCGCCGGCGCCTCGCACTCGAGCTCCGTCGAGTTCACCCACCGCGCGGGCGCGGTCGCCGTCCCGAAGCGGCACGCCAGCAGGCTCGAGTCCGCGAAGTTGAGCCCCCGCACGATGACCGTCCCGCCGCCGGCGACGCCGCCCGACGCCGGCTCCAGGGACAGCACCTCCGGCACGGCCACGTAGCGGTACTGGGACGTGCCCGCGTACGCGTCGGCGCCGTTGATGCTCACGCCGACGGCCACGGCGCCGGCCGCGGCCGCCGGGGCCGCGCAGCGCACCTCCGTCGCCGACGCGACCGTCGCCGGGATCGCCTCGTCGCCGAAGAGGCACAGCGTCACGTCCTCGAAGCCCGAGCCCAGGATCGTCACCGCGGTGCCGCCGGCGACGGCCCCGACGTCCGGCGCGATCGACGCGACGACCGGCGACACCTCGTAGACGAAGCTCGACGCGAGGTCGACGTAGTCCTGCTTGTTGTTGCTCACGGACAGCGTCGCGGGCCCGGACTCGCCGGACGGCGACGCGCAGCGGATCTCCGTCTCGGAGACGAACGTCGCGGCGACCTCGGTCCAGCCGAAGCGGCAGTGCAGCAGCGTCGAGAACCGGAAGCCGGAGCCCTCGATGGCGACGACGGTGCCGCCGTTCGCCGGGCCCGACAGCGGCGACGCCGCCGCCAGATCCAGGGCCGCCGCGTAGACGAACTCGAGCGCGTCCGCGCTCATCTGCTGGTCCGCGACGCCGAGCCGCACGGCGACGGCGCCCGGCGCCGCCGCGGCCGGCGCGACGCACTCGGCCTCCGTCGAGGAGACCCAGCGCGCGTCGACGTCGAGGGCGCCGAAGCGGCACCGGAGGTCCGTCGAGTCCGGGATGTTCAGGCCCGAGACGGCGACGACCGTGCCGCCCGCCGCCGGGCCCGACGCGGGCTCGAGCGCGGACAGGAGCGCGTCGTCCTCGTAGACATAGGTGAGCGCGCGGCCCGACGACGCCGGGTCGCGCCCCCCGACGCTCAGCTTCAGGCCCACGGCGCCCGCGGGCGCCGCGGGCGCGACGCATTTGAGCACGACGTCGTTGACGACGACCGCGTCCGCGAGCGCGTCCCCGAAGGCGCACCGCACGGCGCCGTAGCGCGACAGCGCCATAAAGCCCGCGCCCGAGACGACCACAACCGTCCCGCCCGCCGGCGGGCCCGAGCTCGGCGCCGCGGCGGCGAGCCGCGCGTCCACAAAGCCGAAGACCGCGCCGGTTCCCGAGAACGAGTTGCCGCCGTCGCCGGACACGGTGACCGTGTCGTTCGTCTCCGCGGACCGGGGCGGCGCGTAGCAGACCAGCGTCGCGGCGTCGTAGACCGCCGCCGGCGCCGCGTCGAGACCGAAGCGGCAGAGGTAGGGCAGCCCGACGTCGAAGCCGCCGCCGGGCGACGACACCTCGACGCGCGTGCCGCCCGCCACAGGCCCGAAGGCCGGGCGTAGCACCAAGTCCGCGAGGGGCCTCGTGTACTCGAAGGACCGCGTCGTCGCCGACACGTCGACGCCGTTCGTCGACACCGCGACGCCCGCGGCGCCCTCGACGTCCGACGGCGGCGCGACGCAGCTTAGTGCCGTCGCGTTGACGTAGGTCGCGGGCGTCGGCGTCCCGCCGACGACGCACGCCAGCGCGTCCGACGGCACGCAGCCGGGCTCCTCCAACAATACGAGGATCGTCGTGCCGCCGCTCCGGGGGCCGACGGGCGGGGAGAGCGACGACACGACCAGCGGCGCCTCGTAGAGGAACTGGCGCTCGTCGGACCAGAAGCCGCCGTCCGTGACGCGGAGCGCCGCGTAGCCCGCGCGGGACGCCTCGGGCGCGTCGCACGCGTAGGTGTCGTTGTATAAAAGCTCCGCCGGCGCCGTCGCGTTGCCGAACTGGCAGCTCAGCGGCGCGGCGCCCGCGCCGGCCACGTCCAGCAGGACGCGCGTGCCGCCCGTCGCCGGCCCGCGCCGCGGCCGCGGGAAGCCCAGAATGTCCAGCGCGCCGGCGTCGTCGCCGCTCCTCAAATCCAACGAGATCGACGTCCGTCTTTCTTCCCCGTCGGCGCCCGTCACCGTCGCCGTGATCGTGTCCGACCCCTCGAAGGACGGCTCGCGGACGTAGCCCAGGTTCGCCAGCGCCGCCGTCAGATTCGCGGGCGACCCCGTCAGCGTGATCGCGTCCTCCGCGTACGACACGTTCGACACGCCCGAACGTTCGAAACCGTCGCCGAGGGAGAGCAGCGCGTCGGCGGCGTCCGTGCGCAGCGCCACCGTGACCAGCTCGCCCGCGTCGGAGCCGTCCACGACGAGGCCGCCCAGGGCCAGCTCGTAGTACGGCGGCGCGACGACCTGGGGCGCGCGCTTGCCCGCGTCGACGGTCACGGGGATCGTCGTCGCCGACGACCCGCCGGACGCGTCGTCGAGCGTCACCGTGATGTTCTCCACGTAGGCGCCCCGGAAGCCCTCGTAGGGCTCGTAGTACATGGCCGCGACGCAGTCGTTGACGTCCGCGGCCGTGCCCGCGACTTCCAGGAACGGCGCCGTGTCGTCGCCGTCGCAGGGCAGGAAGGCGCCGCCGAGCGCGAGGAACGTGAGCTTGTACTCGAGGTGCGGATCGGACGCGGAGTCGACGTCCGCGAAGGACACGCCGCCCAGGGAGACTCGTCCCCCCTCCGCGACGGACAGCGCGGACGGCGTCTGCAGCACGGCGCCGTCGTTGACCGCCGCGACGGCGACGGGGATTCTCAACAAATCCGTCGCGTTCGTCTCCGTCGTGGACGCGAGGAGCACGACGAGGACGTCGTCGCCGTGGTAGTTCGCGTCCGGCCGGTATTCGACGTCGCTCAGGAGCTCGTTGGCGACGCGGACGGAGACCGTCGCGTTGCTCTCGCCCGTCGCCGCGAAGACGGCCGCGCCGTGGTCCGCGAAGAGTTCGATCAGGACGCCGTAGGCGTCGAGGAACGTGACGCCCTCGATTGCTAAACCGGCGACGCGCGTCGCGGCATCCTCGCGCGCGGTCAACGCCGCCGGTCCGACGAGCGACGGCACCTGGTCGAAGTCGAGCAGGATCGTCACCAGCGACTCTTCGAGGCCGCCGTACCGGCCGCTCACGAGCTGCCAGGCCTCGGGCCGGTTCGCGCGCCACTGGAGCGTCGCCGTGTGACTGCCCGGGGCCAGGGGCGCCGCGAGCTGGCCCCGGAGCTCGTCGAAGGTCCGCGCGACGGACGTGCCGACCATGGAGCCGTCCTCGCGGTAGGGCACGCCGTCGAGCAACACCCGCGCCTCCACGGTCTGCAACGACGCAAAGGTCCAGGAGTCGAAGTCGGGACGGCCGTGAAGGGTGACGGGCAGCGCGTACTCGACGACGACGACGCCCTCGGCAGGCACGTCGAAGGACGCCGTCTCCACGGTGGCCCAGTCCTCCGTCGTCGCCTCCGGTAAAGCGGTCGTCGACACCATCTGCAGTATGGAAATCGCGTCCGCGCCGCGCTCCTGCACGGGCGCGGCGTAGACGGTCCGCGAGTTCGCGAAGCCGTCGGCCGCGCCGGGGTCGCAGCGCCAGAGGCGCCCGCTGGACCCGCCCTTGCGCCACTCGAGGGCGACGGTGTGGACGCCGGCGGGAAGCCGCACCAAAACCTCGCGCGCGAGCGTCGCCGCGGCCGACGCGTAGCGGTCGCGCGACGACGCGGCGGCGACGGTCTCCCGGTAGGCCTGGCCGTCGACGGTGAGCCGCGCCTGGACGAGGTCGTCGTTGTCGAAGGGGTTCGCGAAGGTCGGCTGCGTCGCCGTCGCCATCAACGTCGCGGCGTAGCCGAGGCGCACGTCCGTCGCGTAGGGCAGGTCGAAGGTCGCGGCCGTGTCTTTCACGGCGACCCAGTCGCTCCGCGAGAGCGCCGCGGCGCTCAGGGGCTCGGCGGCGTGGAGCGCCTCGTGGGCCGTCGCCGTCAATACTCTTCCGCTCGAGAAGCCCTCCTTGAGGCTCGGGTCGCTGCGCCACGCCGCGGCGCCGGCGGCCTTCCACTGGACCTTGACGACCTTGGCCCGATCGTCGTTCAGCGTCACGACGGCGCGGCCGAGCGCCGCCTCGGCCTTGACGCGCGCCTCGCTGTGGAGGTTCGCGTCGAGAAGCGTCGCGCCGGCGCGCAACGGCGCGCCGTCGACGACGAAGCGCACCTGGAGGCTGCCCTCGGCGACGTAGCTCGCGTCGGGCGAGTCGTAGGCCGCGTAGACGCTGAGCGTGTGCGACAGCAGGAGGCGCGCGCCGGCGCCGCCCCGGACGGTCACGGCCAGGCCGGCGACGTCCTCCCAGACGCCCGTCGCGTTCGGGAACGCGAGCCCCGTCGGGGCCGCGCTCCACGTCTTCGCGTCCGCGCACCGCAGCGCGCAGGCGCAGAGCAGCGCCAGCAGCGGCGCGCCGGCGTAGCCGCCGGCGGCGCCCATGGCCGGAGCGTCGAAGCTGCCCAGTCAAGCGGCCCCAGCGGTAAAATGGATTGCGGGTTTGTACTTCCCCATCTTTCACCTTCAAGCGCCGATTCCATAAAAGCAGCCCGACGAGTGCTCCGCGAGAGGCGCCGCGGGCGGGCAGCATGGTGCAGGACGATGCGGCGCCGCCGACGTCGTCCTGGCTCCTCATGCGGCGGGGCGGCGTCCTGGGCAAGACCTTCAGCTCCTGGAAGCGGCGCTTCGTCAAGATCGAGGACGACAAGTGCGTGTGCTCCGCGGCGGTGCGCCGCGGACCGCCGCCCCCCCTCCCGCGCAGGCTCCTGCTCTACACGGACGACGGCCCGGGCGCGGACTTCAAGGGGAGCGTGAGCCTGCAGGGCTCGTCGTGCCGCATCAGCCTGTCGAAGATGATCAGCAAGGGGCCCCAGTTCGCGTTCGAGACCACGGACGCGCACGGGTCGTCGACGTCCTGGGCCGCCTTCAGTCGCGCGCGGCGTCCCACGCACGGCCGAAACTAACGTATTTCCCTCTAGGCCGCGAGGGCCGGCGCGACTGGATCGCCGCGCTCGCCGCGCGGGGCGTGAGGCTCATGGGCGACTACCTCGTCGACGAGTCCGCGCCCGAGGCGCCGGTTTCCGAGGTCGAGGACGACGACGACGACCGCGCGAGCCCGAGCCGGCGGCCGAGCCGCGAGCTCCGCGAGGAGCCGACGTCGCCGCGGGCCGTGCTGCGGTCGCCGTCGCTGAACCCGCGGGGTCTGCAGCGAGCGCACAGCCGGCTCAGCTCCTTCTTCGGCGAGCACCAGCCCGCGCGCATCTGGGACGGCCTGCCGCCCGCGCACGCGCGCGCGGCCAAGGGAGAGAGATTATGGGCGCCGCCCTTCGGCCGCGACGCGCGCGTGCCCGTGCCCTACCAGTCCGCGTCGGAGCCCGCGTGGACATCAACCGGCGACGTCGGGGCCGAACTTGAGAAATCTCGAGCTCGGTGACATCCAAGTCGATTCGGCTCATTCTTGGACGACTCCATGGCTCTCGTCGAGTTCTCGAAGCAACGCCGACGAGTCTGGTTACTCTCGCATTGAAGTCGTGTGGCATATGTTTGTTTCCCGCCCAGGTCGGAATTGGAAGCGGCGACGGTCCACGGCGACGGCGCCGACGACGGGGACCTGGTCCGCGTCGGCGGCGCGGCGTTCGAGGCCGCGCGGGCGCAGCCGCGGCTCTCCGTGCGCTTCGAAGAGACGCCGACGCCGGACAGGGCCGCGGAGCTCGGCAAGACGACGTCGGGCCGCGCGACGATCTCCGTTTCCCGAGGCCAGGCCGCGGGGAACCAAGTCCTGGCGCAGTGGCTCGAGAAGGGCGACCACCTCGGCTCCGGCACCTTCGGCATGGTCTACCGGGGCTCCTATTTCAACCAGCGCGTCGCCATCAAGGAGCTCATCGTGCAGGAGCTCGAGCCTGTGTGCAAATCAACCACTGGTTTGGGACGTCCCGACCAAACTTTGAAATTCGCTAGCTCGATCAAATCGAAGTCGATTCGGCTGATTTTTGGACGGATCGATTGCTCTCATCAAGTTCTCGAAGCACAGCCGAAGAGCTTGTGTCGAAACATTCGAGTACGCGCACATTGAAGTCGGGTTGAAGATTTGATTTGCACACAGGCTCTCGCGCGAGTCGCTCGACGAGTTCGAGCACGAGGCGGACCTGCACTACCACCTCCGCCACGCGAACATCGTCGAGCTGCTCTGCTTCAACGTGAACCCGGACAGCGGGCCCACGTGCATGATCATGGAGCTCGCGGAGTGCAGCCTCTACGACGTGCTCCACAGCGGGCGCCCGTTGCCGCTCTACGCGGAGGCGGAGCTGTCGCTGGAGCGGCGGCTGCAGATCCTCGACGACGTCGCCTGCGGTTTGGTTTTTTTGCACACGCACGACATCATGCACCTCGACCTCAAGTCGCTGAATCTCCTGCTGGACCAGATGGGCCGCGTGAAGCTCTGCGACTTCGGCCTGAGCGTCGTCAAGACGGAGATCGAGGGGTCCTCGGGCGGCAAGGCCATCGGCAGCCTGCCCTACATGGCGCCGGAGCTCATGGTCGACGAGCCCGTGCCGAACCTCATCTGCGACGTCTACTCCTTCTACGGCCGGTCGCCGACGTGGATCGTGAAATTCGTCTCGAGGCGGAAGAAGGTGCTCGAGGTGCCCAAGCACGTCGGCTGCCCCGAGCGCCTCGAGTCGCTCATGCGCCAGTGCGCGCGCTTCGACCCCGCGGACCGGCCGACCATGGACGTCGTGCTCAACGCGCTCCGCGACGTCGTCTTCGACCCCGTCGCGCCGTCCTTGTTGCGCGTCGAGCTGCCGGAGAACGCGCGGTTCACCTTCGAGGTCGTCGGCGACGTCCCGCTCGACGTCGTCGACGCGCCCCGGTCGAAGATCGACGCGCTGACGAACCCCAACGGCGCGACGCGGTCGCTCGTCGCCGCCCGCGCGGAACTCGACCGGCGAGCCGGGACGTCCCGCCGAACTTCGAACTGATCGGTCACAGTCGATTCGGCTGATGTTTGGACGCATCGATGGCTCGCGGCGAGTGCTCGACGCACGGCCGTTCGAGTCGGGTCGAAGATGTTAGTTCCGCGCAGGCGCCGGGCGAGACGTTCTACGCCGAGGCGCACGTCGCCGCGGCGAACGCGCGCGCGGACGGCGAGGACCAGGTCTACCTCAAGCTGGCCAACGAGGACCAGTACGTCGCGGCCTTCGACGACCGCGGCGTCGCGCGCGTGGCCCTCGTCGACTCGACCATCGGCGCGGACCAGCTCGCGCGCGAGGCGCGGGGCCGCGGCCTCGGCGCCGTCGTCGAGGGCCTGCTCTTCTACCTCGCGTCGGACCACGGCGACGCCGTGCTGCGGTTATTGGTGTGCTGCTTCGAGCTCTTCGGCAGCGCCGCGGACGCGTCGACGACGGCCATGCGGACCAAGGCCTGCCGGAGGCTGTGCCGAATTCAACCGCTGGTTTGGGCGGTCCCGACCAAACTTGAGAATTCTCTAGCTCGGTCAAATCGAAGTCGATTCGGCTGATTTTTGGACGAATCGATTGCTCTCGTCGAGCTCTCGAAGCACAGCCGAAGAAGCTTGCGTCGAAACATTTGCATACGCGCACATTGAAGTCGGGTTGAAGATTTGAATTCCACACAGGCCGGCGCGTCGTCGCGGCGCTCCGCGCGTTCCCGGACGACGCGCGCGTGCAGCTCGCGGGCGTGTCGGCCGTCGTGAATTTGGCCGTGGACGGCGTCGGGCGCAAGGCGCTCGCGGATTTCGGCGCCTGCGAGGCCGTGCTGACGGCCGTCGCGCGCCACGGCTTCTCCGCGAACAAGCGGAGCTGGCGCGCGTCGGAGGTGCGCCACGTGGCCGTGGAGGCCATCACGAACCTGCTGCCCGACGACGCCAACGCGGCGACCTTCGCGGCGCTCGACGCGACGGCCGTGCTCTCGCGCGTCGTCGACGAGCTCGGCCTCGCGGACGCGCCGGCCTTCGACCAGAGCCGGCAGCGGCGCGTCGCGGCGCGCGCGTGGAGCTCGCTCGCGCGGCTCGCGGCTGTGCGCTTCGCGCGGCCCGACGGGTCCGAGGGCGCGGCGTCCGACGCGCTCGCGGCGTCGGACGCCGCGGCGAAGGTCGTCGCGTGCGCGAACACGGCGCTCGCCGTCGCGGCGGCGGCACCGGACGACGGCGCCGCGGGGCCGGACGACGACGCGCTGGACACGGCGGCGCTGCTCTACGGCGACGACGACCCGGGGAAGCGGCCGTCGGCGAAGCCCGACGGCGGCCGCGGCGCGCCGGGTTTGCTCGCGGCGTGCTGCCACGCGATCCAGGCCTTTGCGGCCGCGGACGGCACGCTCGCGGGCCAGCTCGTCGCCGTCGGCGCGCCCACGTGCCTCGAGCGGCTTCTGTTTCGCAGCCTGGAGGACGGGAGGCGGTCCACGGAGCTCGCGCGGCGCGCGTGCGCGGCGACGATGGCGCTCGCGGCGACGGGCGACGGCGCGCGCGCGGCGCTGGGCGCGGACCGCGTCTGCGAGGCCGTCGTCGCCGTCGTCCGCGACATGTGCGGCCCGGGCCACCAGGCGAAGGACGACCGGCTGCGCTACTACGCCGTCGGCGCGCTCCTCAATTTGGCGTTCTCGAGCGGCCGGAACCGCGACGCGCTGGCCGCGCAGGACGTGCTCGCGGCCGTCGCCGACTGCGCGGCGGCGTCCGACGACGACCTCGACATGCAGCGGCTCTGCTGCCGCGCGTTCTGGATCCTGGCGACGCCGCCGGACAAGGCGGACGCGGCCGCGGCGCCGCGCGCGCCGCTCCCGGACGACAAGCTCGCCGTCGTGCCCCGGGCCATGCTCCGCTACGGCGAGGACCAGCAGCTCCAGCACTTCGCGTGCGGCGCGGTCATCAACCTCGCGGCGACGTCGCCGGCCGTGCGGCGCGCGCTTGGCCGCGTGGACGCGTGCCGCGCCGTCGCGGCCTGCCTCAAGCGGTTCCCGCGCGACGCGCGCGTCCAGGAGTACGGCTGCCGCGCGGCGGTCTACCTCGGGGCAGGAAAAGAGTGCGACATTCCCAAGGCTCCTCTCTCGGCCGTTTTCCGCTCGTTTCGGCTGATTTTTGGACGAGCGATCATCTCTCGGAGCGCTCTCGAAGCGTGCATGCTGTTTCCGGAACGCGCGCGCGGGGAACAATCACGTTGAAGCGACGTTGCATCTCTCTTTTCCTGCCCAGGTCTACCTCGCGCGCGGCGACTCGGAGAACAAGGACCTGTTCCACCGCTTCGGCGTCCGCAACGTCGCCGCGGCGACGCAGGCGCTCTTCGCGACGACGCCGGGCGTCTCCGCGTGGGCCGACCGCCTCCAGCGGGAGCTCTAGGTCTTACTCGAGGGCGACGTAGTTGATCGCCGGCCGCGCGCCGTCGTCCGCGACGGCCGCGGCGATCGCGGCCATGGTGTCGAACGACGACGCGTCGCCGGCGTCGACCATGGCGAAGACGCAGTAGCCGCCGTAGGCGTCGTCGAGGTGGGGGTTGTCCTTGAGGTTGATGAACCAGTCGCTGCAGCCCGCGTCCGGCACGTCCCAGTGGCCGAACGCCGCGGACCCTCGGACGTTGCTCTGGACGACGGTGCCCGGCTTCCTCGTCTCGTTGACGGGAATGGGCTTCAAGGGGCAGGCGACGGCGGACCCGTCGGACCGCTGCAGGCCGCACTGGATCACGAAGTCGCTCCGGTAGAAGCAGCACCCGTCGAGGAGGGGCGCGAGCTTGGTCACGTGGGCGACGGTGAGCGGCGCGACGTCGGGCCGCAACCGGAGCTTGATGGTGCCCAGCTCCGTCTTGACGACGAGGTGCGTGGCCATGGTCTTCGCTGGCGCTGGCAGAAGTGTTGCGCGGCGCGGAGCCGTGCGAGAGGCTGCACTCTTGCGGCAATTCGTCGGCGATGCAGCTCCACAGGCCTGTGTCTCGGGCTCGACGTACTCTAGGACGCCCGTCGCAGCGTCGCCGCGCCCGCACAACACGATGGGCGACGCTTCCGAGCTGCGCGGCGACACCTCAGAAACGTTGGACAGCGGCGTGAGCTCGAGCAACGTCGCCCTGGGCGCGGGCCAGGACCACGAGGACGCGTTGACGGCCCAGCAGGCCCTATGGGAGGCGGCGGCGGCCGGCGGCATCGCGGCGCTCCAGGCGGCCCTGGAGACGGACGGCGTCGACGTCGACGCCGCGCGGCCCGCCGACGGCATGCCGGCGCTCCACCTCGCGGCGCAGAAGGGCTCGGACGCCTGCGCGCGGAGCCTGCTCAAAGCGGGCGCCGACGCGGCGCTGGGCAACGGCGCGGGCCGTTCCGCGCTCCACGTGGGCGCGTCCCTGGGCCACTGGCAGGTCTGCGTCGCGCTGCTCCAGGAGGGCGGCGTGAACGTCGACGACCTGAGCCGCGACGGACGAGCCGCGTTGTCGTTCGCCGCGGAGCGGGGCCACGACGCGACGGCGCGCGAGCTCCTGCGCTTCGGCGCGGACGCGGCGCTCGCCGACGGCGCCGGGCGCACGGCGCTCCACTTCGCCGTCATCGACGGGTCCGCGGCCTGCGTCGCGCGGCTGCGGAAGCACGGCGCGCCCCTGGACGCGCGGGACGAAAAAGGCGCGACGCCCGCGTCGCTCGCGGAGCAGCTCGGCGACGCGGAGGTGCTGCGCGCGCTCAAGGGCGAGGCGGCGCCGGCGCCGGAGGCGCCGACCGACGACGACCCCTGGCGCTGGGTCGCCGTCGGCGCGGACGGGAAGCTCGTCGAGACGGCCGCGCGGAAGGTCGCGGTCTTCCGAAGCCGCGCGGCCGCGGCCAAGTGGGCCGCGGCGGTCATGACGAACAATTTTAGCGTCCACGAGCTCCGGCGGTCGACGCGGGGCGCCTTCGAGCGCGAGGTCGGCTTCGACAAGGTCGCCGGCGACGGCGACGAGGCCAAGGAGAAGGAGATGGAGGAGGACCCGATCATGGCCGAGTTCCGGCGCCAGGCGGCGGCCAAGAAGGAGAGCGGCGCGAACGTCGACGAGAAGCGCGCCTTGGACGATTTGAAGAGCGCCGAGGGGAAGATCGACGCGCTGGACGCGAAGGCCGACGAGTTCCGCGCCGTCGCGGACATGCGCGAGCTCGCGCTCGTGTCCATCTGCGCGCAAATCAAATCTTCGACCCGACGTCAATGTGAGCCTATGCACGAGTACTTCCGCTGTGCTTCGAGAACTCGCTGAGAGCAATCAATTCGTCCAAAAAACAGCCAAAACGACTTCGATTTGACCGAGCGAGAGAATTCCAAAGTTTGGTCGGGACGTCCCAAACCAGCGGTTGATCTGCACACAGGTGTCCATCTTCTCCCGGAGCCACGACCTCGAGCAGTCCATCGCGGAGTTGACGAAGCGGCTGCGGGCGAGCCCGTCGGGGCCCAAGCTCATCGAGAGTCTGGAGAACCTGCGGCGCCAGCGGCACCCGGCGGCCAAAGAGGGCGCGGACCCGGGCCGCGCGGCGCTCGCGGCCGCGGAGCTCCTCGACGAGAACCGGGCGAAGCTCCCGGCCTGGGCGCCGCCGCCGCCCCAGCCCGTCTACGCGCGCGACGACGACGAGCCGCCGCCGCCGGCGAAGAAGACGGCGGACCGCGCGAGCGAATTGATGAAGCGCCTCGAGCGGTCCTACGACGACAAGGCCCGCGCCTACGCGAAGAAGAGCGCGCCCGTGCCCGAGGACGTCCAGCGCGCGCGCCGCGAGCCGGAGGCGAGGCCGCGCCGCGTGCTGCCCATGCAGGAGGTCCGCGCGTCGGCCTTCGCGGCGCCGGCAGCGCCGCCGCCGCCGGCGCCCGCGCCCGCGCCGCCGCCGGCCGCGCCGCCGCCGCCGCCGCCGCCGGACTTCGAGGACCTCGCGGCGCTGCTCGCGGCCGCGGGCCTCGAGAAGCGCGCGGACGTCTTCGAGGCCGAGGACGCGGACCTCGAGGTCGTCCTCGAGGCCCACGAGGCCGGGGACCTCATGGACCTGCTCAAGGAGATCGGCCTCAAGGCCACGGAGCGCATGAAGATCAAAAGGGCGCTCAACCCGCCGAGCCGCGCCGCATAATGGAGGGTGGAACACCGGACGTCGTGGGGCGCGCCGCGCGGCAGCCGCGGCGACGCGATGGGGCCTGATGGGGCCGGCCCTGGGCCGGCGGCGCTCGCGGCGCGGGTCGACCTGGTCCAGAGAGGATTCCTCCGCCTCCAGTCCGCGACCCTGAGCCGCAGCACGGCGTAGACGCCCGTCGAGCTCGCGCCGCCGAGTGCGCGGCGCCGCACGACACCACCCGTCGCCGCGAAGCACGCGAAGCGCCGCGTCGGACGCCGCCGCGCGCCCGAACCGCGGATCTATCCCGATGGACAGCGAGTACTCCATCACGTACCGCGGCGGCGCGCTGGGCCTGGCGCTCCAGCCGTCGCCGCGGCCGGAGGTGTCGCAGACGCACGTCGCCGAGGCGAACGGCGCGGGCGTCGCCGCGGGCGTCCGCGCGGGCGACCACCTCGTCTCCGTCGCCGGCGTCGACGTCCGTGGGAGGGACGTGCCGCAGGTCGTCGAGCTCCTCCGGCGCATGGTGCCCCCGTTCCAGCTCACCTTCCTGCGGCCCGCCGAGGCGCCGAGCATCCCCGTCACCTTCGCCGCGCCGCCGGCGACGCGCGTCTCGCCCGCGCGCGCGCCGCCCGACGACCTCGACGCGCGGTCCGCCGGCGCGCCCGACGCGGCCGCGCGCCGCGCGGCCGCGTCGCTCGCCGCCGCCGACGAGCCGTCGAGCGGGCGGGTCGGGGCGCCGCCGGACGCCGAGACGTGGGCCCGGCAGGCGGCGGACCGCGCCAAGAGCGCGGCGTCCGCGGCTTCGACGACGGGCCTCCGCGCGGCGCGGCCCGTCGCGGTCCGCGCGGAGCCGCCGCGCGCCGCCGTCGCCGCGTCCGCGTCGCTCATCGCCGCCGCCGCCGCGCCCGCCGTCGCCGCGCGGCCGGCGGACGCCGCCGCGGCGGGCGCGGGCCGCGCGCCGGCGGCGAAGCGGCCCGCGGAGGACCTCGTCGCCGCGTGGGCCGCCCACAAGCCGACGAAGAGCCCCCGGTCGGCGCCGGCCCCGCGCGCGGCGCCGGCCCCGCGGGCGGCGCCGCCCGCGGACCCGCTCGTCGCGCTGGGCCTCGAGTTCACGGAGGACCTCGTCCGCCACGCGCGCGCGCCGGCGCCCGCGGGCCCCGTCGACGCGCCGACGGCGACGCTCGCGGCGCGGCTCGTCGCCGTCGACGCCGAGCTCCGGGGCCTCGCGGCGCGCGCGCGCGCGCTCGTGCCCGCGCGGGAGGCCGTCTGGACGGCCGTCGTCGACGAGGAGGCCGCGGCGGACGCGGCCGCGAAGCTCTGCCACGCCGAGCGCGTGCTCCTCGAGCAGCGCGGCGACGACGCCGCGCTCCGGAGCCACGGCGCGTTCTGGGCCGACGCCTACGACGCCTACGCCGCGCGCGCGCGCGCGGTCCGCGGCGACCTCGGCGGCGTCGAGGACGCGCTCCTCGCGCTCCTCGAGCGCATCCGCCAGGGCGCCAAGCTCGGCGACACGCTCGCCTGCCTCCTCGAGGAGCCGGGCGACGGCGCCCCGTCGTAAGTGAGCAAAAGCTAGGTTGCGGTTTACTGAAAAACCTGCGACGGTCCAGGGGCAGGTTTTTCGGGTTTTACTTTGACGGTGATTTGCGGCCGGCGAGTTTACTGCCGGGCCGGTTTTCCGGCGGCCGAAAGGCCCTTCAAGCCGTGGCGTCCCGCGTACTACGCGGCGCACGTGACGCGCGGAAACGACCGAAATAAACTCTGCTTCATTGGCGCGGATATTACGGCGCTTCGCGGTTCCTCCTGCGAGGACGGCGCTGGTGTGTTAGGGGTTTGACAGCCAATTTATCGTGCTTCACTTCAAGTTGAGGTCAACTTTACTTCAATTTACCACGGAAACTCGCCGATTTCGCGCACCTAGCGGCGCCGGCCACCACCACATCGTCACCGGTGCCCGCCGCGCGCGGCCGCAGCCCCTCGGCCGCCGCCCCACGCACCTCCACCACCGCCTCTGCCTCGCACCCCATCACGACCACCACCGCACCATGATGGGCCTCCACCGCGCGCTCGCCGCGCTCCTCGTCCTCGCCGTCGGCGCCGCGGCCTCTGACTTCTCCGAGGTCGCCAAGCTCGTCGCGTCCGACGGCACGGCGAGCGACCACTTCGGCTGGTCCGTCGCCTCGAGCGGCGACTTCGTCGTCGTCGGCGCGTTGGCCGACGACGCTCCGGGCTACTATGCCGGCTCGGCCTACGTCTACCGCAACGTCGACGGCGTCGCGACGGAGGTCGCCAAGCTCGTCGCGGACGACGCCGGGGAGAAAGACCAATTCGGCATCTCTGTGGCCATTCACAACGACATCGTCGTCGTCGGGTCGGTCGGGTGGAGTGCCACTCCAAACTCTGCGGCCTACGTCTACAAAAGTTCGGACGGCGGCGCGACCTGGCCCCAGGTGGCCAAGCTCGTGGCTGACGACGCCCCCGACGACCAGTCGGGCTTCGGGTACAGCGTCGCGATCGAAGACGACACCATTGCCGTCGGAGCGACCCAGGACTACACGGGCACCCACGCTGGCACGGGCTCCGCATACGTATTCAAGACACCGGACGGCGGCGCGACCTGGACGCAAAAGGCCAAGCTCGTCGAGTCCGACCCGACGGCTGGCGCCTGGTTCGGCATGTCAATCTCGTTGAGTGGAGACGTCATCGCCGTTGGAGCGCACTACAAAGATGGTGGCCGCGGTACACAAGCGGGCTCGGCTTTCGTTTTCCGCACGACGGATGGCGGCGAGACCTGGACGCAGGCTGCAGAGGTCGTTGGGGACGACGTCGGCATCCAAGATCACTTCGGACGGTCCATCGACGTCGACGGTGACACCCTTGTCGTCGGGGCACCTCAGGACGACGAGGTCATCGCCAACGCGGGCGCGGCCTATGTGTTTCGCACGACGGACGGCGGCGCGAGCTGGTCTCAAGAGGCCAAGCTCACAGCGGACGACTCCGCCACAGACGACAGGTTGGGCGTCTCAGTTTCGATTACCGGGAGCACTATTGTCGCTGGGGCGTACGGCAACTCAAAAGGTGCTGCCTATGTGTGGCATACGACGGACGGCGCGACCTGGACCCGCGAAGCGAAACTTGTCTCGAGCGATATCGCGAACGGCGACAACTTCGGCTTCTCCATCTCGCTTGGTGCCGACTTCATCGTCGTCGGGGCGCAAGGCGACGGCGACTTGGGCGCTTATTCGGGCTCGGCATACCTCTTCGATCTCCCCGCGGCGTACCGTCGGCCCGCGCCCGTCCCACCCCCGACCGCTGCCGCGCCGACCCCGAAGCCCGTCGCGACCCCGGTCGGCATCTCCGCGTCCAGTGACGGCGTCGTGACCCACCTCGCGTCCCTCTCCTGCCTCGGCAACGACGCCTGTCCGAGCGCGTTCACCCTCGACGAGTCCGGCATCGCGTCCGAGGTCACGCCGTCGTCGACGTTCGGCTCCGACGGCACGGTCACGCTCGTCATGGACGTCGTCACGACGGGCAGCAGCTCCGAGCTCACCGGGACGCTCTCCGTCGGCGTGGACTGCATCGACTTCCAGCTCGCGGCCGGCTTCTGCCAGGAGGCCGATTCGGCGTCGTTGTGCGCGGAGCACTCGACCGTCACGCGGACGCTCGACCCGACGACGCTCGCGGAGGCGTGCCCCGACAGCGCGGTCCAGGACGAGAACGGCATCATCACGCTCACGCTCGGCGTCACGATCGGCGTCGGCCACTCGGACCCCTTCGACGCGCTCGCGTCCTTCGAGCACGAGGTGACGTACACCATCGACGTCGTGGACCAGGTCGTCATGTCCTCGTCCACGTCCGGCATCGAGACCCAGACGGTGTCGGAGAGCCTCGACCTCGGCGTCGCCGCGCACCGCGTCGCCCTCGCCTCGAGCTCCACGGCGCCCTGCGACATCGACTCCGCGTCCGACAGCGCGACCATGGACGCGAACTCGCGCGTCTGCCTCATGCTCGACACGACGGACGAGGACAAGGAGTCCTACGTCGCGTTCCTGAAGACCGCGACCGTGCGGAATCTCGACTCGGGCCTCGAGTACGCGCTCGTCCAGAACCGGAAATTCGGCCAGTCCGCCCCCGGCTACAAGTACGCCGGAGCCTGGCTCAACAACGCCCACGCGGACCTCGCGGAGCTGACGAAGGATTACCGCGACTACTTCACGTTCTTCCTCCCCCCGGGGCTCCGCCCCGACGAGGGCGCCACGGCGAACCTCGAAGTCCAGATGGTCGTCGAGTACCACCACGTCGACACCGGCGCGCGGAAGCTCCGCCGCGCGACGCGCGAGCTCCAAGCCGCCGCGAACGAAGACTCGGCGGTCCTCCAGCTCGGAGCCTCGAACCCGTCGCTCGCGGAGGAGGGCACGGCCGGCGTCGACCTGAAGCTCGAGCTCGACGGGCTTCCCATGGACGACTACCTGGCCTCCGGCGACGTCGACGAGAGCCTCGTCGCGAGCACCGTGGACGCGGCCCGGGTCATCACGGGGGACCAGGTCGAGCTCACGGGCGTCGCCGCGTCCGCCGACGGCATCTTCGTGCAGATCCACGTCTCCGGCATCGACGACGCCGGCGCGCGCTCGGTCTCGGCCGCCGTCGCGGCGGACGTGACGTCGGGCAACTTCTACTTCCGCCTCGCGTCGAACGGCCTCGTCGTGGACACCGTGGTCCTCGCCGGCGACGTCGTCGCGTACGAGGAGGCCGCGGCCATCTCCGTCGTGGACCTCCAGGTCGAGAGCGCGATCGCGTTCGAGAACCTCGACGTCTCGGCGTTCAACGACGACGCGCGCGCGCGCCTCCAGTTCAAGAAGGCCATCGTCGCGTCCGTCGCGGACGTCACGAGCACGGACCAAGTCACGAGCGTCCGCGCCGTCGAGGCGCGCCGCCGCAAGCTCGAGGCGGGCGCCCTCGTCGAGTACACGGTCGTCGTCACGCAGACCCTGCGCGACGCCGGCGCCGACTACGCGGAGACCTACCTGTCCGAGTTCGTCGCCGGCGTCGCCGAGGCCGCCGACGACGGCCTCTTCGTCCAAGTCCTGCAGCAGGGTGGCCAAGTCTTCGCGGACGTCGCGGTGGACGTCGAGGCCACGTCCGCGGTCCTCGAAGCGACAACCGTCGCCGCCGAGGAGCGCTCCGAGGCCTCTTCGGCCGATGACGACGACGACGGCACCGAGTCCGCGAGCGCAGACGTGCCCATGTTCATCGGCATCGCCGGCGTCGTCGTCCTCGCCGTCGGCCTCGCCGCGCTCTACAAGGCCCGCAAGACCAGCGCGGTGGTGCCTCCCGTCGTCGAGGCCGAGACCGCCAAGGCCCCCGAAGTCTGAGCGCGCCGCGCTCCCGCCGAGGCCAGCACGCCCTCGCGTTGCAGTGCGGCTCCGCGCAACAAGTCCCCACCAACCCGCCGAGACCAGCACGCCCCCGCGCGCAGTGCGGCTCCGCGCCTTTTTGCCCCGCCAAGTCCCGCCTCCACAAGTCCCACCATGTCGAGCCCGGCGCCGTCCCGACGACGCGCCGCCGCCGCTCTCCCCCGAAAATAAAGTTCAATGAACTAACCTTGACGTTGACGGTGCAGCCTGGGTGCCGCAGCCCGAAACACAATATTATGGAGGCAGCCTCTTGAGTTGCATGGCGCTGGTTCCTGGCGCCTGCGCGCCGACGGCCTTCCAGTTCCGCGTCCTGTTCACGGCCGACGCAAACGGTCTCGGCCTAAGCCTTCAGCCCCACGGCGCCGAGGCGTGCCCGCAGCGCCTGTCCAACACCGTCGTGAGCGCGGCCTCCGGCCAGGCGGAGCGATGCGGCGTGCGGCCGGGCGACGAGGTGCTCGCCATCGGCCGCCTGACCGTGTCGTCCTGGGTCTTCGTGCAGACCACGAACGCGCTCAAGTGCCTCTGCTTCCCCGTCGAGCTCGTCTTCGGGCGGCGCGCGCCGCGGCCGCCGCCCGCGCGGGCGGCGCCGGTCGCCGCCGGCGCCGCGCCCAGACCCCCGCCGTCGGCCGCGGCGGTCGTGGCGGTCGCTGCGACCGCGCCCGCGGCGCCGGTCCCGGCGCCGGCCGCCTTCGACGACGGGGCCGCGCAGGCGAGGCTCGACGCGATCTCGGTCAAGCTGCCCTGCGGCCGCGTCGCGCGCAACCGGTTCGTCGGCAGGGACGGCGTCATCCGGCGCCAGCTGACCGTGACCGACGGCATCATCCGGTGCTACGTCTGCGAGGTGCGCGTCGCCGACAGGGCAGGACAAGAGAGCGAAATTCCCAACTTCAAAGGCTCATATCTCGGCCGTTTTCCACTCGTTTCGGCTGATTTTTGGACGAGCGATCATCCCTCGGAACGGTCTCGAAGCGTGGATGCTTTTCCCGGAACGCGCGCACGCGGAACACTCACGTTGAAGCGACGTTGAATCACCCTTGTGCTGCCCAGGTCGCCGAGGGGCGGGGCAAACCGTTCGCGGCCAAGGACGCGCGCGGCAACTCGTTCGACTACGTCGACTGGGCCAAGCGTCACGCCGGCTATTACCAGTACGAGGGCGGCAGCCGAAATTTACACGTCGAGGAGCTCGGCCGCCTCGTCGCGCCCGAAGCGCTCGCGGCGCCGACGCTCGCGGCGCCGGCCCCGACGCGGACGCATCCGAACGTCGCGCGGGCGACGAAGCAGAATTCGCGCCCATATTTTTCCGCGCCGCGGCCCTCGCCGCCGTCGCCGGCCGCGGCGCCCGGCCGGGCGGACGCGACGCCGAACGCCGCGTCGCCCGCGTCGCCCGCGTCGCCCGCGTCGCCCGCCGCGCCGCCGGCCGCGTCGTCGCCGCACGCGCTCCGCGACATCGGCCTCGAGGTCACGGCCGCGCTCGTCGCGCGGCGCGCCGGGGAGCCCGGCGCGGCGCCCGCCTCGCCGTCGGGCCCCGCGGCGACGCTCGCGGCGCGGCTCG